TAAGGGGGACGTGATAAGAGCCACTAATGAAAACACAATGGAGGTGCTTTCAAAAGGGAAACATTGCGCTACTAGTCAGTCAATCATACCCACTGCTGGGCCTATCATCTGAGAAAAAGAATCAAAAAGTCACAGGCTGGCAATCCTGCACTCCAGCAGTATTTACCATAGCGAACACTTGGAAGCAACGAAAATGTCCATCAACAGAGGAGTGCACCAAGAAGAAGTGGTCCATGTACACAGTGGAATATCACTCCAATAAAAAATATAAATTAAATTTTAAAAACAAACAAAAGTAAGGAGACATCAGCATTTGTGGGTTTATCCGGGCACATTCCACTCTAATTTATAACCGAGGAACACCACGGGCCGGAAGGTCTGTTCCCCTAGTACCAGCGTGGGGAACGTAGAAAGGCTAACTGCCCTCTGGCCGCTATTTTACATCTTTATTGGAGTATAATTGCTTTACAATGGTGTGTTAGCTTCTGCTTTATAACAAAGTGAATCAGTTATACATATACATATGTTCCCATATCTCTTCCCTCTTGCGTCTCCCTCCCTCCCACCCTCCCTATCCCCCCCCTCTAGGTGGTCACAAAGCACCGAGCTGATCTCCCTGTGCTATGCGGCTGCTTCCCACTAGCTATCTATTTTACGTTTGGTAGTGTATATATGCCACTCTCTCACTTTGTCACAGCTTACCCTTGCTCCTCCCCATATCCTCAAGTCCATTCTCTAGTAGGTCTGTGTCTTTATTCCTGTCCTACCCCTAGGTTCTTCATAACCTTTTTTTTTTTTTTTAGATTCCATATATATGTTTTAGCATACAGTATTTGTTTTTCTCTTTCTGACTTCACTCTGTATGATAGACTCTAGGTCCATCCACCTCACTACAAATAACTCAGTTTTGTTTCTTTTTATGGCTGAGTAATATTCCATTGTATATATGTGCCACATCTTCTTTATCCATTCATCTGTTGCTTCCATGACCTGGCTATTGTAAATTGAGCTGCAGTGAACGTTGTGGTACATGACTCTTTGAATTATGGTTTTCTCAGGGTATATGCCCAGTAGTGGGACTGCTGGGTCGTATGATAGTGCTATTTTTAAGCCAACTATTTTAAATAAACAGATAATTTTTTATTACTCAGTTTTACTGATTCACGGCTAAAATTTTGGAAAGAAAGATATATCTATTCGCATTTGACTGCATAATTGTGTATGTCTTTTATTACGGGGGGGGGGTCTCATTCAAGAACCTAGGAGGGTGAAGGGAAAATTTTTTCTACCATACATAGGCAATAAAATAATACTTGGAGATAAAAAGGAAGAAACCATCAACCCATGCAAGAAACATGGATGAATCTTATATGTATATTGCTAAGTGATAGAACTCAGTCCGAGAAAGCTACACAGTGAATGACTCCATTTATATCACATTCTGGAACAGGTAAATCGGAGATGGTAAACATGTTAGAGGGTGGGGGGTGTCAAAATATTGCATATGACACTTTAGTGATGGATACCTGCCACTATGCATTAGTCTAAACCCATGGATTCTTACAACCCAACAAATAAATCGTAATATATTCAGATATGACATGGGAGTGTCATAGGGTGGAATAGAGAACGTGACAAAGAATATGATTTATAAATGTATGGAAAAAATTCACTGTTGGTGGTGGGGCAAAAGGTACTTGACCTAGTTAACTATAGAAAAGAACGGAATCTGTACTACAAAGGCAAATTGTGTCATACGTAAATACTGGACTCCGTAAGTTCTTTCCCGTGGTGTTAGGAGCTAACAATACTGAGGGTACTATATCTGTAATCTGGAATGGAGCAGGCAATGAATTCAATGAATGACAAGTGGTGGAACCCTTGGAGTGGGAAGTTACAGATGAACAAAGGCGGAAGGTTACATTCCCCATGTAATAATTGATAGATTCTATTTCCTCGGTTTTAAAAACTTCTGTGCATCACACGGTACTACCCAGAAAGTGAAAACACAGACCACAGAACGGTCTGTGTCTGCACATGAGACATATCTGAGAAGAGTCTGTTCTTCCGAATGTATCAAGAACTTTTACAAATCATCAACAAAAAAATAAGCCAATTTTTTAAATGGACAAAGTATTTGCATGGACCGTTCTGCAGAAAAGACATACAAATGTCCAACAAGAAGCTGGAAAGATTTCAAACATCGGTAGTCATAATGGAAATGCAAATTAACGCCATAATACAATACCGCTTCGCACACACTAGAATGGTTACAAACGAGAAAACTAAAAATAATATGTTGGCAACGACGTAGAGAAATTGGAACCCTTAAACATAGCTTGCGGAAATGAAAAATGTTGCGGCTTTATGTGTACAATACTTTGGCGTTTCTTTGAAACGATAAAAATACAATTACCATATAGTTCAAAACTCCACTCCTAGATATAGCCCCCAAAGAATTGAAAACAAAAACTTGTACACGATTATTCATAGCAGCATTGTTCACAACAAGCAAAAGTTAGAGAGAATGAAAATGTCCACCAGAGCGTGAATGGATAAATAAAATGGAGTATACCCATAAACTACCATATTATTCTGCCATATAAAGGGATAAAGTCAAAGGGTGCAGCCACCGTGGAAAACAATACGGCAGTTCCTCAAAAACTTAAACATAGAGTAACGTATGACCCACAAATTCCACTTCAGAGCAGATACTCAAAATATTTGAAAGCAGGAACAGATATCTGTACACCCATATGCATAACAACATTATTCACAGTAGCCAAAAGGTGGAAGCAACCCAAGTGTCCATCCATGGATGAACGGAAAAACAAAACGTGGTATATGCGCAAGGAAATATTATTCAGCCTTAAAAACTAAGGAAATTCTGACATGTGCTACAACGTGGATGAAACCGAAAGTCACTATGCTAAGTGAAATAAGCCAGTCTTGATGGACAAGTATATGATTCCACTTCTATAAGATACCTTGATGAGAGAGAGTCAGAAAGGGAGTGAACGTGGTTGCCAGGGGCTGCAGGAAGTCAGCGGTTCATGGACACACGGTTTCACTTGGGGAAAATGAAACACTCTTGGCGGTGAGGATATCTGTACAACAAGGCGAATGTAGTTAATGCCACAGAATTGTATCCTTAAAATGGTTTAAATGGTTAGGGTTGGGGGGTTAGTTATACATTTGTAATAACAACTAAAAATGGAACGAAGTATTCACACATGTTACAACATGGAAGAACACTGAAAACACCCTAAGTGAAAGAAGCCATACTGGAAAGGCCACCCAGACTGGACTCATCGTGTGCACTTTAAATCCATCAAGGTTTTGAAAATGAGGGAAAGTCTTAGGAAGAGTTCCTAAAAAGCAAACTGGATCAGAATGGAAAAAGACATTTTCATACAGTTGGGGCAGCTGGTGAAAGTTGAAGCGGGCCTGTGGAATGGATTATAGCGTGGAAACCATGTGATTTCCGCATCTGGGGGTTATGTGCTGGTACGCGGGGCGAGCGTTCCTGATCTGGGTCAAAGACACCGCAGTATTTTGTGTAAAGTGGTAAGTGTGAGTATTTTTACTGTTATTGAAAGTTTTCTATACGTTTGAGATTGCTGGAAAGTAAATTACTTTTCAAAGCAATCATGTTAATACGATGCCAGAAGAGCTGAGAGACATCAAACTTTTTTATAGAGGCCAAGACTTACCCAGACCAAGTTCACCCAAAATGATGATGCCAATCGCCCTTGTAGGAGTCCATATGTTATTAAGAGGCACTACGGGAAGATTATATTAGTGGCCACAATGTCTTGGGTGTTGTGGATGACCTGGAATACAGTGGAAACTGTGGGATTTTAGAATTACAATTTTCCACATCACTCCAGCAAAAAAATTGTCAGAATACAGCTGCAGAATATACAAAATCAAGGTACAAAACTCAGCTGCATTTCTATACACTAATAACACACCGTCAGAAAGAGACATTAAGAAAACAAACCCACGTATAATTGCATCAAAAAGAACAAATTACCCAGGAATAAATTTAACCAAGGACATGAAAGACCGGTACTAGGAAAACTATAAGACATTGATTAAGAAATTGAAGAAGACACAAATGAATAGAAAAATATTCTGTGCTCGTGGAATGGGAGAATTAACATCATTAAAATGTCCATCATACCCATAGCAATCTACAGATACAGTGCAGTCCCTATCAAAATATGAAAGGTATTTTTCACAGAAATAGAACAAACAATCCTAACATTTGTGTGGAACCACAAAGGACCCCGAACAGCAAAAGCAACCCTGAGAAAGGAGAGCAGGCTGGAAGAATCATGCTCCCTGACTTCAAACTATATCAGGGAGCTACAGCAACTAAAACAGCATGGAATTGGCAGAAGAGCAGACACGTGGACTAGAGGCATAGAGCCCAGATATAAACCCACACACACGTGGTTGGTTAATTCATGACGAAGGAGTCAAGACACACAGCAGGGAAAGGACGGGCCCCTCAATAGAGGGCGCTGGGAAAACTGGACGCCATCTGCGCCACACACAAAACCAGTGAAAAACCCACAATGCTCCAATCAAGCCCTTCTTCTGCTGGGTCCTCAGCATTGGCCCCCAGCAGTCAGCCATGCACAGGAAGCTTCTCCCCACTTCTCCCGCCATGGCGCCTCCTCCCCAGCAGGTCCTGAGGACACACAGCTCCCGTCCTCTGTGCAGGGAGCCAAGACCACAGATAGAACGCGCACACACTGCGGGGTCACAGAGGCGGGCTCCGCACCCCCAGGGAGCCGCTGGGGACATGCAGGCCACACCATCCCACAGTTCAGTGGGGACTGTGCTCCCTGCTGGCAGTCCTGGTGAATCCACTAAGATTTGGAGATAAAAATATGAAAATAGCCAAATAGCCCATGACTTCTCCACAATTAGTTATGGAACAATTAATTGGAAACTGCATGGAATGAAATGAATATAGACACAAACTTCACAACTCACACCAAAATTTACTCAACATTGTCCATAGACAAATTTATAATGCAGAACTATAAAAATTCTAGAAGAAAATCTACATAACCTTGGTTTTAAACCACACACCTCTGATTGGGACTTGAAGCCATGTGCCGGGACTCGGACCCAGCCAAAACCCAGATTGGGGGCTAGAACCCACAGTCTTTTCATTAGAATCACTCACCTGGTGTCTGGACTTACTGAGGCTCAGGTTCTTTGTGTCTCCAATTCAGCGAGAGGCAAAATGATAGGCAAGAAGTAGACTTACAGGACACTTGTGAGGGATGCAAGCGGGCAAGAGAGGGGGCTCTGCCCCAAGGATTAAGTGGGCTACATTTTTATAACCAAGGGGAAGTGGGGAGGGGGAAGAGACCGCTTTCTTCGTCATTCTTCGAGTTGAGGTCAGGCTTCCATCACTGCACCTGTTTAGTATCAGGCAGGATACCTGTCCTTGGTCCTAAGGGCCATCACCTTGCTGAACCAGCAGAATGCAGGCCTCATCTGTTCCTTTCACTTAATGACCTAGGGTATATCTCGTGGTTTTATTTATTTATAGTTAAACAAGCCTGCTTCTTCCCCGACATTCAGATAGCTTCTTTTGAGCGGTCATTAACTCTCAGTGTTCTCCCAAATTTCCCTAGGTTTCCCTCTCTATCCATAATGCCCTACCGGGACTTCTACAACTACCTGTGTAACTATCCTACTCTATCCCTATCAGCTTTGGTAATGAATTTTAACACAAAAATCCCAAAAGTCTACCCACAAAAGAAAAAAGAAATTATAATGTGGACTTTAGAAAATTAAAAATCGTTACTCCGTGAAAGACCTTATTCAGAAAACCAAAAGACAAGCCACAGAGAGAAAAAAATATTCTCAAAACACGTATCTGATAAAAGTACTCAAATTATACCAAGAACTCCAAAACAATACCATTTAAAGTGGGTAAAGATCTGAACAGACACCTGGTCAAATAACATACAGAAAATAGATAAGCATACAATATGTTTAGTATCATATACCACTGGAGAATTACAAATGAAAACAAGATAGCATTGCACACTTATGAGAACTGGTAAACTCCAAAAAAGTGACAGAAACGATTGCTGGAGGGTGAGGAAAAATAGGAACTCTCCCTCTTTGCTGACGAAACGCATGTACAGCTCCTTCAAAAGACAGCTTGGCACTTTTTTCCCAAAACCAAACAAGTCTCACCTCAGGATCCAACAATTGCTCTTCCACCATTTAGACAACTGTTTTGATCAACTGTGTCCGCAGCACCTCCACTCATAATGGCTAAAAACATAAAGAAATCAGTACGTCCTTCAGTGGACGAAAACATAAGCAAATTGGGGTGCATCCACGTCACGGGAACTGAACATGCCACCCCAAAATATGTCTCTTTGGCATAAGGATTATTGGGGGCTGATGGTGTTTTTTTGGTTTTTTTAAAAGGGACACATAGGGACTTCCCTGGTGGTCCAGCAGTTAAGACTCCCTCTTCCAATGCAGGAGGTGCGGATTCGATCCCTGGTCAGGGAGCTAAGATCCCACATGCCTCGCGGTCAAAAAACCAAAACATAAAACAGAAGCAATACTGTAACAAATTCAATAAAGACTTTAAAAATGGTCCATATCCAAAAAATCTTTAAAAAAAAAACTCAAAAAAAAAAGACACATAAAAATCTCTGGAAAAAAAAAAAAAAAAAGAATCTCTGAAACCCAAGTCAAGATGGCCCTTTTGTGAAGGAAATTTACATTTATAAGGGAACTCTTCATTTGAAAGGTTATCTCCCTCCCCAAACTAAGAATAGAAGGGTGACAAAACCTCAAGAAATTCTTCTCAGTGGAAAAGGTCTGAATTAAATCCGCACAGCAACCACACCCCTGTTTTCTTTCCATTTAGAAGAAGATGGTATTTAAAGTGATTTGGGCCATTTCAGGGAGTTACTCAGTTTTCCTGGGTATCTCTCATGCATACAAAAGGTACACATGTTATTAAACTTCTGTTTTTTTTCCTGGTAATCTTTTATTATGGTGGGGGGGGGGGTGTCTCAACAAAGAACCTACAATGATAGAGGGAAAAATTCTTTTTCCTCTCATACACATGCAATGGAATGCTCTTCAGAAATATAAAGGAATGAACCATCAGCCCATGCAAAAAAAAAAAAGGATGAATCTTACATGAATTATACTAAGTGAAATAATACAGCCAGAAGAGGCTATACATTGTATGAGCCCCATTCATATGAAAATGTGGAAAAGGCAAAACAGAGACGGTAAACAGATTCTGGGGTGGGGTGGGGTGAAGGGTTCCATTTGATACTTAAGTGATGGATAACAGACACTGTGCATTTGTCTAAACCCATGGATTTGTACAGTCCAATAAGTAAATCCTAATCTATTAAAATTCAGTTATTTAGGATATAGGAGTGTCACACGATGGAATGCAGAATGTAACAAAGCATCTAACCAATTTATAAATGTATGAAAAAAACTCACTGCTGGTGGTGACCTCAGTAACTTTGGAAATGAGCAGACTCTGTAGACTAAAGGCAAAATGAACCACACGTAAACAGTGGACTCTATTTTATAAAAGTCTTTCCCATGGGGTAGTAGCTACCAATACTGAAACCAGTATATCTGTAACCTGGAAGAGAACAAGCAATGAATTAAATAAATGACAGACCGTGGGATGCAGTTTTCTCACCGTCGGAGTGGAAAGTTACAGATAATTAAGGGGAGAAGGTTACAACATCCATGTGATAAAAGATCATGTTGGAGACATCAGTATAAACTCATCTTTAGTTTAATATGGATAAAGACAGTTCCACACAGAAATCTTTATAATTAGGTGAATATACTGTCAGCGAGGGGGAATTTTCCTTTTGAGTTCTTGCGGCTGAACCGATAATAAAATTGACACAAGACAGATTAACAGGAGGAAAAAACAAATCTCTAACCCTGCACACAGAGGTCTCACAGAAATGGGACCTAAGTAGTAGTCAGAGCAGGCAGCTTTTATACTGTTTAGGCAAAGAAACAATAAATTTGTGAGGAATTGACAGGACAAAGAAACTGAGGTTTGACGTGTTCAATTAGTGAAGAATCTAAACAGAGTCTGGGCTTCGGGAGCAAATTAAAGCAGTAGGGGCTTCCCTGGTGGTGCAGTGGTTGAGAATCCGCCTGCCCATGCAGGGGACACGGGTTCGAGCCCTGGTCCAGGAAGATCCCACATGCCGCGGGGCAGCTGAGCCCGTGCGCCACAACTCCCGAGCCTACGGGCTGCAACTACTAAAGCCCACACGCCCTAGGGCTCGCGTGCCGCAACTACTGAGCCCGCATGCACAGACCCCATGCAACAAGAGAAGCCACTGAAACGAGAAGCCCGCGCACCGCAACGAAAACCCAACGCAGCCAAAAAATAATAATAAAATAAAACCCACTTGGTGGTGGTGTATGAGCGTTTAAACAAAAAGAAGTAACGAGGTTTGTTCATCTATGTTCCTGGCCCTGAATTCCTTGTCTCTAGCAATAGCGGTGTCCTTTTACCTCCAGATGCGCCCTTCACACAGGAGATTTATTTCCTGCTTTCAGGGAGACAGAGAGAAGGGTCAAAGTGTTCCTCTTGCTTCAGCCTGTTTCTTAAGTACCTTGAATTTAAAATGATCACTCTGTCGTCGTGACATATTTTGGAGCCGCCCCGCCCGCCCCGAGCGCCAACAACTCACACAGGTTAGAATGCACGCATACATTTCCCTGCGTTGTCAGCTGATCACATTTAGCTCCCACATGTTTTAATATCATTCTCTGGTAAAAGGAACCAGGGCTCTTTGAAGAAATGGCTGATACTAGGACTGAGACAGTAAACATATCAGCCAGGATAACCCTGAAGTATAAATAAGAAAGAACCAAGGAAAAAAAAACCCACCGATGGAATTATGTCAAGGGAAACAGGACCCGTGGAAAGAGCTCTCAGTAGCCAGAGCAGGAATGAATGAAGCAATCAAATACTGCAGTGCTGGATTATAACCAAAAAGCCTAAAATATCTATCCAGGTGTCCACACTGGTAAGAAATAAATGATCGCACAGATTTTTTTTTTTTAAATAAATGAGGTTGAATAGAAATCTCGTATGCAGGGGATTCCAAACAATTGATAAGACACTCAACCATGCATCAGGGAAGTGAAGCTAACTCCCCTTTCCTGAAGTGTGGGGCCTGCACGGTGACCTACCTCCGTCAAGGTCATTGACACAAGGCGTCTAGAAACTGTCAAAGCCAAGAGGAGCCCAAAGAGACATAACAGATAAATGTCATGTGATACCCTGGATGGGATCCTAGCACAGAAAAGGTAGAAGGGAACCCAGATAAAAATATGGACATTTTAGTTTAAAATAACGTATGAATATCGGTTCACTAATTGTAACAGTTCTGTAGAAAACTAGAAGAGGAGAAATCGAAAGTAAATATGAGAAACCTATTGCATCAAACTGGAAAACTAGTGGAAATGGGTGATTTCCTAGTAAAAATACACAGTAACAAAATTGACCCTAAAATAAAGAAAATACAAAAGACCGGTTAACCACCCGGGGACCTCTTCCCTCTGCTGGTTCTTTGCTCGTTGTTCAGGGGTTTTCCTCCCCTGGGAAAAGGAAGGAACAGGGACAGAGACGTTCGGCAGCTCCCCTAGGACCAGACCCCAACCAGTGTCTTCAACTCTTCCAGCCACGCCACGCCCAGTGAGGACAACTGAAGCGATCTCTGGGATTATGGATTCTCAAGCGTCAGGACTTTTTGGATGGCAAGTGACCGGACACACTTCCTGAAGTAAAATAAATTAGTGTCTTTCAATGATAGACGTAAACTAATAATTGCAAGAGGCAAGTTGAAGAACGGCTTTGGACCTGGCAGACCCAGGGGCTCACCCTTTCGCAGCGTGACCTGGTCCCTCTCCAGCCCTACCCTACTAAGTGCCCCGGGGTGGCCCATTCACAGGCACAGTCTCTCTCACTGCTTCCGCGGGTCTACTGCGAAGGGTTTCTCCGTCCCTAGGGCTCCATGAAAATCACAGCTTTAAATGCCTCTGGCCTGGCTCGGGTCACGTTCTCATCCTTGAGCCCATCAGAGCACCCACAGGATGGAACATGGGATCGGCTAGACTTGGATCATACACCTGTCTTCACGGCAGGTGAGATGGAGGGTCAGCCCTCTGGAACTGTTTAGACTGGAAGCAGGGGAGAGGGAGTTCCCAAAGGAAAGCTGAGGTGCTGGACTTGGACACGAGGACAGATGCCGGCTCAGTGAAAGCAGCAGATTCCACATCACTGACAGCCCGCTGTACAGCTGTGGGATCGGAACCCCAGGGAAAGAAGGGGTCGACTTAGGGTCAGGGGCTGCAGCCGCCCACCCAGTGCCCTTGCTGTTCTCCCAGGATGGCAAGCTCTTCCACTGGCTGAAAAAGCAAGGTAGGTACTGGTGGTAAACTCAGGGCTCCTGCCTTGGGCACTGGATCCCTGCATCTCAGAGACTGGCCCAGAACAGGCCATGTGCCTTCGACCGAATGCTAGGAGGGCAAGGAAACTGGCTCAGTGAAGCAGAGGGAGGCTCCAGGATTATTCCATACCATGGAATCCACAGTTGGCTGGCTTTCTGGAGACCACAGGGGCTGGACCGTGGACGCACATGGCTCTCCAAGAACACAAGGCCTTAGTGTGAAACTGCCCACCGGGAGGCCCAGTTGCTCCCACATCTTTGATTCTCAATGGACATGAATGTCAAACTTTGTTACAACCAGAAGGCCAAAGGACTGCAGGGCCACCGTCTGGTTGTGGTGGCCAGGGCCACACTCAATGTTTAGAGGGCCATTACCTAACTGGCTGTAAGGAAGGAGGCCCTTTTCCCAACCGTAGAGATATTGGGAATTAGAAAACCCCAAGGGGCTCTCTAGGCTGCCCAGGTAGCTGGTCAATCGCCCAGCAGCAGGGTCAGCTCAGTAATTGGCCACGGGGGCCTGAGGGGGCCCAGGCTGACCTGAGCTGGAGAGCCACAGATGCCTGCCTGGATGGTCGGAAACCAAGGGCTGTTCTGAGACCAGTTTCCACTGCCCACTCAGATGGGACAAAGGATTCATCAAGTCCCAGGAGGGCCACACCAGCCATCAAGAAGGCAGCACCTGGGGGCTGGCAGGCCGCTGCACCCAGTCCTGCATAAATCTATACACGTCTACTAAGTACCCTCATGTGTCAGGGCTGTGCTGGACCTGGGGACTGCCCAGATAGAGTGGGGCCGGCATCACCTTCCCCGCCTGACTTCTGAGGCCCTTCACAATCCTTGACTGAGGTTAGGTTGGATTGAAACAGTCAGTGACCAGTGTGGGCATTTCATTCTTCCACTGTCAGAGCCCAGGACTAGGCAGGGCAGACAACCAATTGTCCAGCTCAACTCCTGACTCATGTGTCAGACTTGAGGGTCTCTTTGAGGCCCCTGGTACCATGCAGACCCTCGTCAGGCTAGGGCCTCGTGACCAGGTGAGTCCTATCCATCCTTGGAGGCCTCAGAGAGATGGGAAAGAAGAGGGGGAAGTGGGCCAGTGAGGCTTAATCCTAACCCCAACCTTCAACTTCAAGCCCTAAACCCTAACAACCCTAACCCTGGAACCCTAGACCTTGGGCTCTAAACTTTGACCTCTAACTCTGACCCTGACCCTTAACCCCTGACTCCAATCCCAACCCTAAACCCTAACATTGATATCCTAACTCTAGCCCTAACGTACAAAACACTTTTACAACTGAACCAAACACAGACAACCCAATTTTTAAATGAACAAAGCACCTGAATAGACAATTGTCCAAAGAAGGTTTACAGATGACAAGTCACCTGAAAAGATTCAACATTAATCACTATTAATTAGTGTACAGATACAACAACTGATTTTTGAGTTGTATTCTGCAACTTTGCTGAATGCATTTATTTCTAGCAGGTTTTTCGTTTCTGGTCTTTAGGGTTTTCTATAGATAAAGATATGTCATCTGCAAACAGGGACAGTTTTCTATTTCTTTGCATCTCACAAGTTTTGGTATGCTGTGTTTCCATTTTTGTTTGTCTCAAGATATTTTTAGATTTCACTTTTTATTTCTTCTTTGACCCACTGATTGTTCAAAGTGTGTTATTTAATTTTCACCTATTTGTGAATTTTCCAGTTTTCCTTCTACCATCGATTTCTAGTTTTATTCCACTGTGGTTAGAAAAGACATTTGGTATATATCAATCTTCTTAAAGAGTTGTTGACCTAACATGTGATCTATACTTGAGAATGTGCCATATGTGCTTGAGAAGAATGTACATCCTGCTGTTGTTGGGCTGAAAGTTCCACATATGTCTGTTAGGTCCATTCGGTCTGTGGTGTTATTCAAGTCCACTGATTTTTATTTTTATTGATTTATTTATTTTTGCTTGTTGTTGGTTCTGTCTGTTAGATCTACCCACTACCAAAAGTGGATAGCAAAGTCTCCACTATAATTGTATGGCCGTCTATTTTTCCCCTCAGTTTAGTTTATGCAGAGAATTCCAATTAATTGATATGGTCACTCAGCCAGCAAGGATACGGAGCTACCTCCTCACTCCTTAATGATGACCTTGACCTTAATCTCATCCTGAACCTAACCTCTGACCCTGACCTTAACCCTAACTTGGAACCTTAACCCTAACTGAATTTTCTTAGTTTTAGTTCTCTAAACAAGAATATCTCAAAAGAATTCCTCCAATGACAGAAATATCCTTTTCCTTCTCCTCAGCCTACTGTGACTGGTAAACTGGATTTTTATCTTGTTCATTTAAATTGATTTGAATTTTAAAAGCCACGTGTCATTGGTGGCTTCCATGTTTGGACAAAGCACCACAGGGTGCCCTGTGATTAGCCTCATAGGTAATCACCACATGTGTGGATGACTTCGAATCCCTAATGCTCTTCCTTTGATGCAGGTGGGTATTCAGAAACTATATTTACATTCTGATCTTTGGACTTGACCCTGAGGAGATCAACAGGAACACCAATCACCCACCTAACACACCCTTAGGATATCACGTGTCCATTTCCTACGAAAGAGACCAAAGGACCTTGGCAAAGCTCCCTGGCATGGCTGTCAGGAGCGGGCCAGACCAACCTGTGTTTCACCTGTGAGAAAGAGAACACAGCCACCGCTGTCACTGCGGGAACCACATCAGCTTTTTCCTGCTCAGGGAGACACTGCTGGACCTCTACAAATTCCCACAAGTGGAGAGGAAGGCGCGGCGGGGGCAGGGCTGAATACACGTCCTGTCCAGCAACAAAATATGGCGGTAAAACAAATGAAGAGAGAATGTCCTTGTACGTCGTTCAAGGTGGAAAACCGGAATGCACAGAACCGGGGTGGCGTGTTCTTTACTTGACTCGGCAACGACAAGGGAGAGAATGAAGACTTTACAGGCTAAAGTCAACCACGGGAGGTCCTAGAAATAGGTTCTGAGCAATTTTTCCAGGTAGCCCTTCCAGGGACGTTGAAAATAAAATATGGGGAATTTCCTGGTGGTCCAGTGGTTAGGACCTGGCGCTTTCACTGCCAGGACCCGGGTTCAGTCGCTGCTCAGGGAACTAAAACCCTGCAAGCCGTGCGGTGTGGCCAGAAAAATAAAGAAAAGAAAACATGGTACGAAGAAACCCTTGCGGCTGCACTTACTGAAAGTAACGTTTAATCTCCAGATCGCTTTCCATGGCAGGTGAAAAGGAATATGATTCAAATGAGTACCACAGAGGTATTCTCTCTTGATCGTTTCTTTGGAGAAGAAAATGACCATGCTTTTCTCCTTCCCGTTCAGGTCACTGAAGGTCCCTGTGACCTTCTGCTGAGTGTCAAGGGTCAGTCACCAGGTCTGAGTCAGGTGGCCTCCAGGAGTGCTCCTCTGGCCTCAGGCGTGGTGTGGCTGCCGCTGCCCCATGGCTGGACCTGGGCGGGGCTGTTGGTCTGTGATGATGTGAGAGGTGAGCGGTCTCTCTGGAGCCCAAGGCAAGACATGCACGGGGGAGATCTGGGCACCCTTGCAGGGTGGAGGCCTGTTGTCAAGTGATTCCAGCCTTTTGCCAATTGGAAATTGTTCCTTAGTGCCCTAGATTCACCCAGAAATGTAGCTCTCAATCGTATAAACTGGGCTACTTGGATCCCAAAAATTCACACTGATAAAAATGAGGCCAACAGAAAAATTCTGGGGCATGTTTACATCAGATACGGGAAGTCAGCAGGCCGACAGGAGACCTAGGAGCTGTCCAGCTGCTGAAACTATGCTCTAAGAGGCTGAAGGGAAAGCACAGGGTTTAAAAATTGCAGTAGAACAGCACCCCCCCCACCCCCCATAAGAGGTGCTCGATGGCTGACGGTACTGGAGGGGCTAGTCTAGCAGGCTTGAGGCCGCTAAGCCTCCAGGAAGAATCCCCAAACCACACAGCCTCAGGGGGTGACCCTCCACGAAGTCCCTACCAATGGCCTGTTTGTGGTCGGTCAGGCAGACATGAACGTCATGACCTCCGCTGCTGCTGGGAACCCATGAGCCGAAACCGCTACCGTAACCAACATCACAAAGTTTTTCCATTAGGATTTTATGTTGTTACAACTTAAACAGGGATTTATTTGGTGAATGAGGAATGAATACAGTATTTTTCAACTTAGGAAGATTTACTTAGGCAGAGCTTTCCTGTTTTGAATGATTGTAAAAGTTTTCAAGATACAGTAAAGAGAGCGACATCACGGATTCCTACACACAAACAGGCAGACTTCATAATTACACAATTTTGCCACATTTTCATCCCATTTTTGTACTGTGAAATATTGTCAGTCACAGCCCTTACAAAATCTCACCTGTGAAAAAGCAAGCATGACTTCCTACCAAACCACAGCACCGTGCTGCACAGAAATTCCTGCATATGGTTCGATACTCAGTTAGGAGGGGTTCTCAAAACCCGACATCAGAAGGTAGACGGAATGTTGAGCGTCGAGAACATGCCATGAGAAATGGTATTTCCCTGGCTAAGGACCTAGGAGCTTCCCATGAGAATCAACTAAAGAAACACCACCCCCACCCCCCTCCATGTAAAGAGGAAAAGGGAAAAGACTATTCTTGCCATAGAACCATAAGGACCGTAAACCTCAAATTACGCATGAGAGTTTCCTTACGGCGCTGCCTGGGTGTATCAATATGTCCTAACTTCCAATGTGACCATACACTGATGCTTGGATTCGTAAGAATTACTGCACCTGCTCTTCTTGTCAGATGCAAACCAGTGTGTGCAGCATCCTATACTCAAACAGTAAGAGAGAACGCTGCCCCCCCAACCCCCAACGGCTGTGACCTGCCCAGCTTCTGAGGACCCTTTGGGGGCGGCTCTCTCCTCCACTGCTCTCACAGCTGTGGTCCTTGGGGGTCTTCGTTAAGCCCGAGACTCGCCCACAGTCAAGGCCAAGAGCGAGACTCTCAGCTGCGTCCTCCTAATCTCCCTGCGCCCAGGCTTTCTGTGCTGCTCACCTCTCATCGGCCGTCCCAGCACAGCCACCTGCGCCCTCCAGCAACCACATCTGGCACGGTGTTTACTGAGCTGTTTCCACTGTTTGGGCCCAAACCCTCTGTGTGGTCTTGACTTTCAGGATCACTGCTCCTGGGAGGAAAGTTGCTTGGTGTCAGGGGCACCCGACTTCACCTTCATCCACTCCCCAATGCACCCGACTCTCTGTGGAATCTGCCTGGGAACCTCTCCTCTCTTCACTGACACAGACACGCACTCCGAGCCTAGATGTGTCCTCCTCGCCTGCAACCGGGGCTTGGTCCCTGTCTTCTACTGTGCCCTGGGATACCTGGGCTCCTAGCCCTGGGGAGCTTCACCAGGGCTTTCCTGGCCCGGAACCTGCCCAGTACCTTCAAGGAAGCCAAGTTCCTGACCTTCAGCGTCCTGCTGACGTGCAGTGTGTGGGCCACCTCCCTCCCCATCTACCACAGGCTGAGGGCAAGGCCATGGTGGCCGTGAAGATCTTCATCTTCTCCATCTTGGCCTCCAGTGCAGGCTGCTAAGGCTGCATCTCGGCCCCCAGGCACTGCTAAGACCAGACGGGAACACCCTGAAATGGATACAGAATAAGACAGGTTCTGGGTGCAGGTAAAACAAAAACAGACTCTTAAAACTAAATCACCCATTTTGCCCAGATATTTGACGAAAGATTAAACTTCCTACTTACGCTCTGGTTGACCAGGTAAGCTCTGTGTGTTCTGCAAGTTTCAGGGACCCCGGCCCATCAGTGATCAGGTCCAGAAGCTTCAGTCACCTTGGACACCGTCCTGGCACATGGAGTCTATCCCCCATCGTCTGTTCCACCTCTTGACCACCCCCCGCCCCGGCCTGGGCCCCAGCTTCCCTCTACTTCCCGTTCTCTATTTTTCCCAGTTACAAAAGTCTTCCCCACGCTAAGGTTTTGAACCTATTTTCCCTCTTTAAGGTTTGTTTATGGCCTGATCTATGCCGCTTGCCTGACATTCACTTCTGTGGATGGTGAGTGAGCGGTTCCCATTCCAGGGCAGAAGTCATGGGGGCCCGTTTCTGAAGCCCCATGTGCACAGGGGTCCATGTGACCAGAGGGAAGGGGTCAGGACTGGGGGAGTTGCAGCTTCAGTGAGTCCTCCAGGGACACAGGGAGTGGACAGACGCAGGTGGGCACTACTGAGACGGGACGATCCGAGGGCAGAGGTCCCGGTCATTCGAAGGGGAGGGACTCTGAGGCCCGGGCCGGGGCTGGGGTGGTATATCCCCCAGCAAAAGGGCATAAGGAGCCCGCTCCAGGCCCAAACCCCAGGTGTGATCTTTCCAACTCAACACCGGCCACTGCAAGGCTCCACCTGGCAGAGCCCACGGGAGCTGCCCTCTCAGCGGACCTGAGCACAGCCCTGCACACAGTCAGTCTCTGGGGGTGCTGATGAGGACCCAGGCTCCTGTGGCCATGGTCTTAACCACATCTGAACTTCTTCCCAAGCCCTTACATTTGGGGGCCTGCACAGGGGCCCCCGGCAGAGGCCTCCTTACTGGGAGGAGGGAAGAGCTGTACATACACCTCTCCACGCGACGTGGACTCGGGTCTCTGCTAGCCTCCCCGGCCCCGGGGGCCAAACAACGGCAGGTGTCTCTTGTTCAGGGCTCTCTCTGCAGGGTGACACCCCGACTGCTTGTGCAGGTCCGCCTGACCCCCAACCTTAGCGCCACAGGAGAGTGGAACGGGCAGTCGGCCTTTGTCCTGCACCCCTCCTGCCCACGTGACCAGAGCAGCAACGCAGGCATGGCTGGTTCGCTCCGCTGAGCCCCCAACCAGAGAGGGTCTCCCCCTCTGCTGTAGGAACAGAGTCCTCAGAACGGCCATAAGGAAGAGGTGCTGATAACATCTGTCAAGCAAACGCCCTATTTTACTAAAAATCCAAACAGAGGTCACATTTTACAAAACCGGCATCCACTGGGATCTCTCAGTCCCTTCCCTAAGCCAACAAAAGACAGGGATTCTGAGGACGAGTCCCCCTCCTCACGCTAGGGCTGCCCCAGGTACCCCCTAGCCCAGTGCATGGAGGTGGGGTTAGTGGAACCCACGCCAGGATCCAGCCATCCTGGCTTAGGGACCTGCCAGGACCATGGACACGCTTGCTGCCCACAGCCCGAGCCCCAGCAGGAGGGGACCCGCAGAGGCTGCAGCCAGCCTCGCCCAGGGCCAGTGTCAGTGATGGCTGGGTGTCCGCTCTACCTCTTCATCCTCCAGGCAGTGCCGCGGGGGCCGGGCTTTGAAGAAGTCGGAGACGTAGCGGACCTAGCAGAGGAGAGGAAGGCAGGAGCTGACTGGGCGGGGGCAGGACGGGATGGGGCAGCACAGGGCAGGGAGGGGCAGTAGAGCCCAGGAGCTGAGGGGCACCGTGGCGGGGTCAATGAGGACAGCAGAGGGGGGGATCTTAGGGGAAAGATGGGAGGAGAGGGCTAGGGTCCTGGAGAGGCAGAGAGAGGGCAGCAGGGCCCCAGAGGGGGGTCTCTGGTCAGGGCAGGGGGTCAGGGCCCGGGAGCTCACAGTGAGGCTGGCCACCAGCGCCCCCTGCAGGAGGCCAACGAGAACATCACTCCAGTGGTGTTTGTAGTCAGACACACGGGTGTAGCCCACGTAAAGGGCAAAGGCCACCAGGAAAAACTGCACAGTGGGCCGCAGCAGCCGTGCCCACTTCCAGCACAGCCGGGCCTGCACGTAGAGCTGGGGGCCAAGAGCAGCCGTCAGCATGGGAGCCTGCCCGCCCACCCCCGCCGGACGCACAGACGGTGACACTGAGGCCAGGAGCCTGGAACCTGTAGGCCCAGGGCCTCCAGTTTTTATCAACAAGCCAGAGCCCATCCATCACCACCTCTACCCACCCCGCTTTACTGAGGCCCAGGGAAGGGCCTAGGCCACCGCTCCACAACAAGCGAGTCACAGAGAAACAAACTCACCGCCAAGAACATCATGCAGTACATTCCAAAGGAGGAGTGTCCAGAGTAGAAGGATAATCTGAGAAAGGAGAGTGCGGCAGGTTTCAGAAGGGCCCACACTCAGCACCTCTGCCTTCAAACACCCCCGGCCCTGGTCCCATCCTGCCATGCCTCCCAGAGTCCGGGAAGATTTCAGGTAGAAACACGGCCACTGTTGGACACCATCAGTTCTTCCCTTTCCATTTCTCTGACAATGCGATAGGGTCTCGCGGCCTTTAAGGCCTCACCACAAAGATGCTGCAGGCCCTGAACACAGAACTGAGGTCAGACAACTGTGTCTAGCCAGCAGCTTCACTTTCACTGTGTTTCTTTTCAAGACCATTTTCCACCTGTGGTCACTGATACAAGGCTCACGTTTCCTTTTTTTTTTTTTTTTTTTTTTTGCAGCACGCGGGCCTCTCACTGCTGTGGCCTCTCCCGTTGCGCAGCACAGGCTCTGGACGCGCAGGCTCAGCGGCCATGGCTCACAGGCCCAGCCGCTCCGCAGCACGTGGGATCTTCGCGGACCGGGGCACGAACCCGTGTCCCCTGCATCGGCAGGCGGACTCTCAACCGCTGCGCCACCAGGGAAGCCCCACATTTTCTTTTTATATAATTTCAAGTTTTAACAAAGGACATCAACCGACAAGAGAAAAGATGGCAGATTAAGAAACTCCAAAGGTCCATCCCCCCACCCCGTAAAAGCAACTAAAAAACTGACAACAACGGTAAGAATCAGATTGGTGGTGGCCGTGGAGGGAGAACAGAGCTCACTTACAAAGAACTGAAATAGTTCGGTCCTGTCTGATGGCTCCCTGGATCACTGGTCGTAAATATTTACAGCAAATGTAATGGTCACCATTGCCTGGGGCAACGGATAGCAGTTGCAGCAGACAGACTCACCAAAAAGCTTGGGAGGAAAGGCCAGGGAATGAGAAGCTCTGGAGAATAAGGGCTGGGATTCCAGAGGCCAGGGCTGGGCCTCAGGGCTCAGGAAAGACCTGAGAAGGCCCTAAGCTCTCACCTCTGGTTGACCAAGCAAGAAGTAAGTAAAGGTTAAGGCAGAGTTGTCAGCTGACATGCCCCAACATAGCACACAAAGCCCGTCTGTAAAATGGAATTTTTTTTCCCCCGGTTCCAGGTATTTAAGGACATATCTGTCCAATCGTTAGCTGATCACTCAGCTAACAGCAGAACTTCACGGCCACTCCGACTCTACAAAGTTAGTTCACTACACTCACTAAGCAAACAACCAACAACTACAACAAACAGCAAAAACAAGCCCTGGGGAGAGTAGAATCTGATTTCCAGAGTTGCTACATTATAACATTCAAAATGCCCGGTTTTCAACAACAACAACAAAATTATAAGGCATGCATGAAAAAATGCGGGAAGTACCTAGGGAAAAAAAATCTATTACTAAAAGCTGTCCCTGAGGAAGCCCAGATGTTAGACTCACTGGATAAAGACTTTTAATCTGCCATTTAAAATATGTTCAGAGAGCTAAAGGGACTGTGAGAATGATGTCTCACCTAATAGAGAACACCAAAAAGAAACAGAAGTTATAAAAAGGAAACAAATAGAAATTGTGGAGTTCAAAACTATAGTATCTGAAATAAATCACCCGACGGGCTCAAAAGCAGATCTGAGCAGGCAGAAGCGTGCGTGGAGATAGGTCAATTGAGACTTTCGGTCTAAGGAACAAAAAAGAAGAATGAAGAAAAATGAATGAACTGCAGAGCCTTGTGGGACACCATCAAATGTACCAACATATATACATATAAGCGTCTCCAAAGGAGAAGAGAGAAAGCGGCAGGAAGAATACTTGAAGAATATTTTCATCAAATGAAAAACATCACTCTACACGTCCAAAAAGCCCAATGAACTTCAAAGAGGATGAACTCAAAGAGAGCCACAAAGAGACACAGTATAATCAGGCCACCAAAAGACAGTCAAGGAGAAAATCTTGAAAGCAGCAAGAGAAGGCATTCATTGTGTACGAGGAATCCTCAGTAAGATTAGTAGCTCATTTCTTATCAGAAACCATGGAGGCCAGAAGGATGACATACTCAAAAGTACTGAAAGGAAAGAAACGCCTGTGAATCACGAATTCTACATCTGGCAAAATGATCCTGTAAAAATAAAGGAGAAATTTAGACATTCCCAGATCAACAAGAACCAAGAAACTTCATAGCTCATACACCTACAAGCGCTACAAGAAATACTAAAGGGAGTCTTTCATGGAGGAATGAAGGATACTAGACAGTGACTCAAATCCACAAAAAAGCCCGTAAAAGTCACCAGTAAAAGTAAATACAAAACATAAACAGCAGTGTTAATGTATTTTGGTTTACAGTCCTGCTTTTCCCTACGTGATTAAAAAAAGAAAAAACAACTGCACATAACTAAACTTACTGGATCATTCCACAATAAATACAAACATCTCATCTTTATGCTGTACACCTGAAACTAACATAACGTTATATGGCAAATATAGCTCAATTTTTAAAAAACAGTAATTATAAATCTATGTTGATGAGCACACAATGTATAAAGGTATAATTTGTGACAATAACCTCGTAAGGGGGCGGGGGGGTGTGGAACTATATAGTTGCAAATTTTTTGCAGAGTAAATACCTATTAACAGAAAAGGCAGTAATGGAGAAATTGAAATACAAACAAAAAAGATACAATATACACAAAACAAACAACAAGACAAAGAGCATTATATAGCGGGAAAAGGATCCATCCATTAAGAAGGTATAAAAATAACAATTACAAAGATATAAGCACCTAACAACAGAGCCCAAAATACAGGAGGCAAAAACTGACAAAAGCTTAAGATGGTTAAATTGGTGAATTTTATACTTTGTGAATTTTTATCTAATTTTTAAAGAAGGAAAATAAGGACATCAATTAAATGAAAAGTTTACCAGTAGAGTTGGTGAGAGGACAGAGCAGCAGCGTGAGGATGGGGCCTGAAATTTAGGGGAGGTGGGTCACTCCTCCTGAAGCCTCCTGCTCTGCTCCAGGGCCCGACACGCCTGGCACCACCTCACCTCCCTGCCTGCAGGACACAGGCCCACGGGCACCTGCAGGCCTTGCTCCTGCCTGTTCTCTGCCCAGCGTGGAGCCCCTGTACCTTCTATACCTGACAACTCATCCCTCAATATCCAGCTCCCGAGGGCCCTTCTCCAGCCCCCACTCTCCTCCCCGGGTGGGGTGTCTGCGGCCCGGGCCCCCCGCGGCACCTACCTGGACTCGGTGACGTCAGCAGGCCTTCCCCTGCACACCTCCACCTGCACATACACGGAGCAGTTGACACGGCTCCAGTCAGGGTCACACACGGCCAGGAAGTTGGGCCGCAGCCGGCCGGTCATGTACTTGGCCAGGTCTGTCAGCGACTGGCTCACTGCAGCCCCGAACAGGAACGCCCCCAACACCTTGTAGAGGGCGGCCAGGTAGTTGTTGAAGTCGGAGCGGGAGTAGAGGCGGTCTGTGTACACCAGGTAGGCCTCCCCGGCCGACACCTGCGGGGAACAGCTGGGGACTTCAGGGCTGCTGAAGAAAGGGGTCAGGGTGCGCGGCCTCCCTACGGTCACTGGGGGGCTGGGAACTCCAAGGGGGCCCTCTTCCCCGCAGACACCACCCCGGGCAGGACTCGACCTGCTAACGCCCCAGCCCTCCGCCCTCCACACCCCTCCTGCCTTACAAGTATGACGGTGGTGGTGATGATGACCCCGGCCATGAGCCCGTGGGTGATGGTGTCTGGACGGTAGGGGTACCGGATGGAGTCATCTGCGCAGTAGAATCCTCGCTTGTACGGGGCGTGCACGAGCGTCAGGATGGCGGAAGGCAGAGAGGCTGGGGTTGGGGAGAGGAGGCCGGTAGCCACGAGGTTCTCTGAGCCCCAGGGCCACACAGACGAGCTTGCGCCGGCACCGAGCGCTTGGACGCCTGCCTCAGCCTCCCTCCGGGTCTCCTCACCTCCGAGCCCACCCGAGAGCTAGGAGGAGCTTTTCTCACAGCAAATGGGAGGTCACTGCCCCATTAAACCCCCTTGTGGTTCCCCGTCATCATCAGATAAACACCAACGTCCTGCCCAGGCCCAGTGTCCACCCCCCCAACGTCGCCCACCCTCTCCCCGCCTCGCTTCCCTCCAGCCTCCTCTCTGCCCTTTGCACGAAGCCAGCAGGCAGCCACCAGGGCCTCTGCTCACATCCTTCTCGTGGCCCAGAACATCTCGAACTCCCTTCCGTGCTCCTGGGAGCCCTCTCCCGGCAGGAAACTTCCGTTCTTCGTGGTTCTTGCCTGTGTGCAACTGTGCAATCACCGTGTGACACTCGAATGATTCCCCCGGCTACACACAGCGCTCCGTGAGCAACCTGGGGTGGGGGCCGCGCCTGTCGTGGTCAAGGCTGAGTCCCTGGAGCCTACTGGGGCCTGGCCGAGGCCAGTGTTTAACAGGCATCTGTTAAAAGGAGGACACTCTGCTCCTTGTTCTAGGGCCGGCCAGAGAGATCAGGAACACACCTCATCCACGTGTTGTCCCTGAACCGGCCACACGGTGACCCAACAGGCCCGGCCCAGGCCCCGGGGGCTCAATCCAAAGGTGCTTTCAGGAGTCACAAGTCATGACCGGGCCCTGCCTGGCACGGCCGCAGCCCCGGAGTCCAGAGGCCCCGCCAGCCAAGGGTGACCCAAGGGCGGCTGGGGCACAGGGCTCCCTGCTCCCCAGGGTGGGTGCACAGAGACAAACCCAGGCAGGGTGCCCTTTGGCCTTGGCAGGGCAGGTGACACGTGGAAAAGGGTGTGGCTCTGCTGGGGCCTGACGACCAGAGCAGGGGGAGGGCAGGGCCAACTCCTCCTTCCAAAGGCCAAATTCAAGGGCCGCCGGGACCACCGTGTGATGGTGCTGATGTAGGGAAAGACTCGGTGAAGAACACAGAGATCTGCCTCATGGAGCTGAGAGCAACTGGGAATAAAAATAATACGCACACGATGACCGGAATCGGGGAGGTGGCTGCGGCCTTCAGTAGGGTGTCGCGGAGGCCACACAGGGAAGGTGCCGTAAAGGAAGAAGTACAGGGGAGACCTGGGGAAGAACACCCCCCAGAGGGGTGGCCAGTGCCAAGGCCGGAGATGGGCCTGAGCCTGGAGAGCAGAGCGCTGGGGAGAGGGGCTCTGCGGCAGGGGCGGGGGTCTCAGGAGGGCTGCAGCAGAGGGAGGGAGAATGTTTCCAAAAGACCTCTCTGGCCAGGGTGGAGGCCTAGGAGGAGAGGCCGAGAAACCCCACAGCCTGGGCAGAGCAGGGGCTCCCATGGGGGCCCGGGCATCGAGTCAGCCCCCCAACTCCTGTCCCCAAGCCCCAGCCCTCCCCGCTGGAGATTCGGGCACCCCCGATCAGAACTGGAGCTGGGCTCTCCCGGGATTCAGGGCACAGAGCTCAGAGCACAGGAACGGAGCCTCCTTCTGCCTGGGCCGCACCAGCTCAGATGTCCCCACAGCAGACACCACCAGAGCCTCCCTGCCCTGGTGTCAACCCCTGGTGTTTTCCCCAGGGCCCTTGTCACCATCTAAGACTGAACTGTTTTGTGTCCTGAAGCTTCTAGGCTGGGAGCTGGCTCTGCCCGGGCCCCCAGCACCTGGCACATGGCAGCTGCACCCAACCCCCTCCCCCGCTGCTGTGTGACCTCCAGCGGGCACCTGAACATCTCTGGGTGGAAACTGGGGAGCATAACAGCACTCCCTTATAGGCTGATTGGAGAAAAAGGTTTAATTAATTGCAGGCTGCTTAGTGCCTGACATACAGTCAGTGCCACACAAATGTTTAAATAAGTAAGTGCTCAGGAAACGATGCCCAGGGTTGGCAGACGGCCCCCGGGGACCTCCAGTTGCCACCTGGCGCATCCCAAAAGGGTCTCTTCTAGGACATGGGAGGAGAGCCTGGCCTCTGCCTGCAGTCAGGGCAGACCCCTCGGTCCCCAGCGGAGGAGCAGCAGCCTGACTGGGGGTAGGGCAGTTTAGGCTGGAGGGGCCCCTCCCTGCGCGGGGGGTAGAATTCCGGGGCCATTGTCCGCACAGCCCCGGAGCAAACACACAGCCTTTGTTTCAGGGACCCTGGAGGAGGGGCGGCGAGGGGGCCTCTGCCCCCAGCTTGGCCCGCAAACCCGCCCGACAGGTTTGGCCCGCGCCACCCCGAGGCCTCCAGTTCCACAACAGCCTGCGGCCCAGTCCTCCTCCTGGCTCTCCTGGGCCCGAGCGAGGAGGGCGACGGGGCGCGGGTTCGAATCCCACCACTGCCCGTGCGCCCCCGGCCAGGGCTCCGCCCTCCCAGACCCCACTGGACCAGCCGACCCAAGGTGCGGGGTGGAGGGCCTCCCGGGGCGACCCGCGGCCGCGCCCCCCGCCCGGCTCGCCCGAGCCCAGCCGACGCCCGCGTGAATCACCGCCCGGGCCGGGCCGGGCAGGGCGGGAGGGGAGGCATGGGGCGCCCCCGGCAGCGACTTCCTGCTGCCGCGGGCGGGGGACACCGACCCCCTCCGACCGGGGATGCGCGGGGGAAACTGAGGCCTGAGAGGGCGCGCGCGGCCGCCGGGGCACGCGGGGCGGGGGCGCGTTGCTCGATCCACGGCCCGAGGGTCCTCCCCCGGCTCCCCCCACCTCCAGGGGGCCTCCGAGAGATAGGGCCGCTGCAGCCCCCAGCCCGTCCTACAAAACTTTGCGGGGACCGGGGATGGGCCCGCCTGGGAAAGGGTCCTCACACACACACCCGGGTCCCCGCGGCTCTTACCGACCAGCACGCACAGCACGTCGAGCAGCACGAAGACCCACCTCCGCTCCATGCTGCCCGCGACCCCCGGCGCCCGTCCCAGCGCGTCCCGTCGCGTCCCAGACGGGCCGCGGGGTCACATGGCCGGGGAGCCTGGCCCAACCCGGGAGGGGCGGGCAGGGCAGGGGAGCGGAGGGAGGGGCGGAGCCTCCGAGGGGAGGGGGCGGACTCTGCCTCCGCCCCGCCCGAGGCGCGCGGGGAGGAGGGGCGTGGGGAGCGCGCGGGGATGGCAGGGGAACAGTGTCGGTACGAGACCCGCGGCAGGAGGGGCCGCGGGTCTCCGAGCTGGGGGAGGGGGGTCGTCGGTGCCCAGCATTTCCCTCGCCCCCCGCCGGGAGGCTGAGGCTCAGGGACGGCTAGTCCGGTGTCACCCCAGAGCGTCCGCGTCCGGCCGCACGCCCCGATCACCCACGGATTGGGTCGGCTGAGTCGGGGGTCAGGAGAAGGAACGAACAAACGAAGGAATGAGTGAGGGGTGAACGGAGAGGCCAGCAGGAAGGGGTGTGGAGGAGGACGGAGCTCGGGCACCCGCAGGCTGCGCCTCGGTTTCGTCTTTGGGGCACTGAGCTCCTGTGTGCCTGTCTGAATACGTCTGAATCAGGAAGTGCCTACAAATAGATGGGGGGTGTCACGGCTTAACTGCAGGGGTTTTTTTCTTTCCTCCTGATGCTTAAAATCCTTGCAGCCCTTCCATCCCTGGCATTGTTAAGAAAGTTCCTCAACGCCCACCCTGCTTGTGCCAGGCCCTTCTCCTGGGTGGCACACTTCCTACCCCCTTTTACAGGCAGCAAATCGTGCGGGCGGTAGGAACTTGCCCGCACGCTAGGAAGGGTAGGGTTAGGGTCTGTGCCCTGCACGCCCACCCGGTCCCGAGGCAGCCCTGAGCTGGGAGGCGCAGGAGTACCACACACGCACCCGGGATCCTTGGGGCTGGAACCAAATGAGAGGCCTCGGGGCGTGTCACCACCTCCTGGAGAGCCCTGCCTGGACCTGGCGAGACACAAGGGAGGTTCTGCCACTCTCTCAAGGTCACACAGTGGCAAGAGGCAGGGCTGGCTGGGGTTTGAACCCAAGCAGCCTGGCCCCAGCCCCGCCCCCAAACCACGTTCACCGGCCCACCCCCTCCAACAATCTTAAAACAGAAAGATGTTTCCCGGCTTTATTTTAGAGATGCAGGAAGCCGCTTCCCCTGGCCCAAGGTCAAGCAGCTGAGACGTGAACTCAGAGTCCCTAACCCTGCTTTCTGGGAGGATGAACAGACGCCTGCACCGTGGGGGGAGTGAGGGTTGGGAGACAGCCAAGGTATTGTGGGGGGCGGGGGGCGACAAGGCACAGCTGATCTGTGGCTCCTCCACCATTGGCCAGACTGTGGGGTTGAGGGGGGTGTCTCTGGGCCGAGGCCCCTGAACCCCAGAACAACTTTCCCTAAGCAGGCCATCAGACACCGCCCCCCCCCACACACACACACACTCAAAATAACTCAGCCCACCCCCAGGACATAACAAGGTTCTGCATGGAAGCTGATGGACCTAGATCTCCCGCCTGCGGCGTGGCGGAGACAGTGCGGGAAGCACATCCCAGCAACCCCCCCTTTCCAGCCGCACACCCTGAGGAGTTGGGAAGGCACATCCTAAAAATGCGCTTCCTCCCTCACCCCCAGACTTCCTCCAAGGCGCCCAGAAGAATCAGATTACTTGCCCGGAAGATTTTTCTCTGTCTGAGCAGGGGTGGGGCTGTCGCCAGGGACCAGTTTCAGGCTCAGGGGGATCCAGCAGCCCTGGACTCCTTCCTGCCAGCGTGGCCCCGCCCCGGGAAGGCTCCGGCTCCGTCCACTGGGTCCTCCTGCTGTAATCACAGGGAGGGGTGGGCCCTGTCATTCATTCATCCCTTCATTCATTCATGCAACGGAATTATACGTGTGAAGGTACGTGGCATACGTGTTACGTGACTGTTAGCCGGCGTCATTATCATGGCACTTTCTTTACTTTAGCCTTGCGGCAATCGGGTGACTACTCCTCTCTGTGTAGTCTTGACACTTTCAGTTTAGGTAGGGAAGGTGCAACATGATACTGGCATCAATGAAATGTGGGCTTCTTTATTAAGCACCTACTGCGTGCCGGGCGGGGCCAGCCAAAGAGGAGTGTGGTGGGGCCCGGCCTGGGTGGAGACCGTGGGGTTGAACCCGGGAGGCTCCAGGGGAGGCTCCCGCGGGCAGAGACTGGGTGGGAAGGAGCATGGCCTGTTCCTGACGAGCCAGGAGACCAAGTGGCTGAAGGGAGAGCATGCGGCTGGAGCAGATGTGGCCACCACCACCACCCACCCCACCCCCCCCGCCCCGGCCCCGCTGACCTGTTTCACCCTGCCCTTAAAATACCTGGGCAGGATCAAGGTCAAAATGTGGTGAGGGCAGCAAGGATTAGGATGAGGGGTTAAAACTAGGGCTAGCTGGGGAATCCCCCGGGACCAGCAAGGCCCGCCCCACGGGGAGCCGGGCTTGGCGGCATGATGTAACCGAGCCCCTAGTTGGGGCCCGAGAGCCTCACCTGTCCTGGAGACCGGGCCTCCCCTTGTGCCTGGCGGTCACCGCTGCCCTGCTGCCGCCCCCCACCTGAGGGGCCCAGGCTTGTCTCAAGGAAGAGGTGCTGGGCGTGGGCAGAAAGGTGCTGGCACACTGTAGGTGCCCCCTGAGTGCAGCCTGCAGCCCCGCCTCTCTCTGCACTTCTCGTGGGGCTCAGGCCACCCTGGAGTCAGCTCCTTGACACGGGCCTCCCTCCCTGCTGAGGGTCCTGGAGCCCAGGCTGTACCCCAGGTGGCTGTGCCGGGCGCGTCCAGGCAAGGAAGGCTAAGTGGGCAGTCGGCGCCTCAGTCTCTCCATCTGCACGATGGGCACAGGCCAGCACCCACCCTGGGGTCATAGTGAAGTGCTTGACCAGTGGCCTGCCCCGCTAGGAAGCACTAGACAAAATGGTGGAGGTGGGCACCTAAGGTGGGCTTCCGTCAGAACCCAGCGCCAATTCACCCAGAATCCCAGAACCGCGTTGCTCCCAGGACTCCGCCACTCCTCAAGGGCGCACTACCTTCCGGTCGGGGACAGGGTGACCTTCCCGGTTTAGCACTGAGTCCCCATTCGGGAGCCCGTCCCAGTGACGTCGCCCCTCGTGCAGGCCACCCCGACCTCACGGTGCCCTCCCCACCCCTCCTGTGCTCTCAGACTGTATCTGCCGACCCCCAGGCTTGAGCCCCAGGAGGCAGGACAGCACAGACCCGGTGCTCAGTCACTGCTTCTGAATGAGGGTGAGCCCATGAGCAACGAACAGCCCAGGGGCCAGAGCCCGAACTCTCGCAGGATCACAGCCGAGCGAGACAGTCACAGAGCCGTCTTCACGAGACTGGTCTCCACCTGCTTCTCAAGAAACGAGGGAAGACAGGGCAGGTCACACCATCGAGCATGCCGTCAAGCTCCCACCGCACCCCTCCGCCCCTGCCCGCAAAGCCACGGGCCCGGGTCCTTCAGGCTGGTCATGACTGACGAGGAAAAGCGACACGGGCGGCACAGGAGGGCCAGGGAGTCCTCCAAACCTCAGAGGCCAAGAACCCCTTTTCCGTGACCCCACCGCTGTCCTGTGTGTCGCCCAGTAGGGACAGCCCACCGGAGCAGGGGCTGAGTTCACTTCCCAAGTGCTCACCATGGAGCTCAATCCCAAGTCTCTGAGCAAGAGCTGCGGCTCCAACTACGGGGGGGTGGGGGTTGTGTGAGCAGGCATCGGACCCCCGCAGACGCCTCCACGCTCCCGCTCTGCAGCCACCACTGCCCACCCTCCAATTCTGCTTCGGCGGGGAGGGCCAAGCCCCACCCACTGGACCCTCGAGATAGGGAGGCACTACAGGCTCCAGTCAGCCCCCAGACTGGTGGGACGGGAGCGGCCTCTGCTGGACAAAGCCACAGCCCAGCCCCAACCTCTGGACATTCGCCGGGTGTCCGATGTGCCAGGCGCCCAGGCCCCATATCCTTACAGCAGCCCAGCAACAGAGCTGCCAGATTCAACGAGGACACGCACAGGACTCCATTAAACTTGAATCCCAGATAAGCGACACATCACTTGTTACCGTAAGTATGTCCCAAATGTTATATGGGATATACTTACACTGAAATATCTGTCTACCTGGGGATTCAAATCTAACTGGGTGCCCAGTATTTCATCCGGCAGCCCCATCCCAGAACCACAAGCCAAGAAAACAAGAACTGTGGGGACAGAAGCATTGGCTAAACAGTGGGGTCGGGTCTGGACAGCCCAGTCCCACTCCAGAGCCCAGGGTCCTGGGCCAGGGAGGCCGAGGCCCCAGCCCAGGACTGTCAGCTTGGGGCCACCTCCTCCGTCCCCCTCCCAACCCCGGGAGCTGCCTGTGGGTCCAGCCTCCAGTGTGGCCCTGGCTCATGCCAGCCTCCTTCAGCAGAGGGGCTGGAATCAGGGTCACCTGATTCCATGCCATGGAATCCTGGCATGTCCCCTGGGAAGGCCCCTCAAACCAAGCACCCGGTATGGTTAGAACGCAGGTCACAAAAGAGCTCTACTCCCCCCTGTGTAGAGTGGAGAAAACCGTGGACAACCTGGGAAACAGTAATAGTAAAAGTACAACGACACTTCTCTTTGTAAGAAGTCCATCCCAGAGGCTGTGCAGGTGTCCCCTACCACTGGGGACGGAACGGGGGACCTGGGTGTGGCGCGGTGCAGCTGGCGACTCTGCCCTCGGGTCTGGGATGGCAACAAGTGGACCTGCAGGCAGGCAGGGCCTGGCTCACCACCAAGACCCCTGAACCACAGGTGGACGGCACGTCGCCTCCCGCTCCACTTTCAGGGCCTCTTTGTACACGACGTCCAGCGATAACGAACAGTACAGAAGGTTCCTGGTCAGCAGACAATGCCCCTGAGGGGAGCAACGGTCACTCTGCACCAGCTCAGGAGCCTCGGAGGCCCCTGCTACCTTGCAAGCAGATTTCCAGTCCCCGGGCCTAGAGGGACAGCCTCCTTCGCCTGGCCCTCCACTGCCCCATGGCCCCACTGCTGACGCCACTCCTGTGGGCCCAGCTGCCACCCTTCCTGCCCATGTGCTCGGTGCTCCCGTCGCTCCCCCCCACCCGGAACGCCGGCCCCTCCCCGGGAGGCCTGTCTGACCACGTGAGGGGAGGAGGTGGCCCCCGCCCAGCCAATCTGAAGACCCCTCCTGCCCAGCCAGAGTTACTAGTGCGGTTATGGGTACAAGACCCAGAAACAAGGCTCACCCAACCTTCTGCAGGGACCACAGACTGAGGGTGGCCGCCTTGGTCACCACAAGGGGCCACGTGCCCGGGCACAACAGTTAAGAGGAAGCAGAAAGAAGAGAAGCAGTAAACACCGCGCTGACACCAATGCTCGACTCCTGAACACACTCCCGTCCACAGGCAGCCCTGGACGGCGCCACGAGCGGGACTCCCGTAGCCTCGCGCCAGGCACTAACATTCTGAAAACCAAGGCAGACAGGCACCAACGCGGTTATGGCCAGGAAGGCCCGCAAAGCAGCAGCCACGGCCACAGGGAGGCCGGGCAGGGCACTGGCAAGATATGGGCCGACACTGAGCAAGAGACTCCTTTAAAACAACCACAAGAATGGGACACACTGGGACCCATAAGCATGGGAAAACAGTTAAGAGATGTGTGTCCAGGAATAGCCCAGACGGTGAACTATCCAAAAGTTTAAAGTAACTGTTATAAAAAGGATAAAGAATGTACAAGAAAAAAACTGGAGAATTTCAGCAAAAATACAGAAAAAAACAACTGCAAATACTAGAATCAAAATATACAGCGTAGGCGTCCCAGATGCAGTGGGACGGGCCAGGTGGCAGCCTGGAGCAGTGGAAGGAGGGATAGGGAGCAAGGACGGGTCCAGATGCACAGGGAGGACAGGACGACACATGCAGAGTCCGCAGATGACGACAGGGGACTGCTGAGTAACCAGGGACCCAGGAGCAGAGCCCAGAAGGGGCAGCAGAAATACCTGACACATGACAGCCAGGAAGCCCCCCAGCGATGAAAGGCATCAACCCTCAGGTCCGAGGAGCTCCATGTAGGAAACACCAGGCGCAACACATCCAAACATACAGAGAAAATCACAGTAGGAAAAAGAAGACATCGTATTTAGGGAACACAAGTGAAAATGCCAAATTTCTCGTCAGAAACAAGAGAACCCAGGAATAAATGGAACATCTTAAAAATGCCGAAAGAAAAAAAGGAAACCTAGAATCTTATACCAAGTTAAAAAGAAAAACAGTCCTTGAAAAACCAAGGAGGGGTACGGACATTTTCAGCCAACGAGCGCGAAGAGCACACTGTGCAGACTCACTTCCTGCCTCAGGAGGGTGAGCCTGCCTTTGGGGGCCGTGGGAAGCGCCTGTTGGGACGGTCCCGACAGCCCCAAGCGCTGCGGGGCCGGGCAGCCTCAGGCAGGGGCGCACGGAGGGGCAGCCACCCTGGAGGTTCTCACAAAAGCACAGGGAAACCACCACGCGGTCCAGCTCCCGGGTGTTCACCAAACACACACCTGCACATGGGGGCTTACGGGCGCTGCGTCCACCGCCACCACATCGAGGACACTGAGGTGCCCTCGGGCAGGCGAGCGGAGCAACGCCACAGTCCATTCCAGAAAACACACACTCAGCACGAAGAAGTGAACAACGAAGCCACGAACAGCCACGGAGGAACCTTAAACGCACAGAGCGGGGCAAGAAGCCAGCCTGGAGACGCCACTTACTGAGAAAGGAGGAAACCAGAGGACAGCAACCACCACCTCTGAAGCACTGAAAGCGCGAACAGACCGAAAACTCCGTCACAACCATTCCAATCCCTCCCGTCCCACCCAAACGCCCCGGGCTCCCATGCTGGCACAGCCAGCTCTGCCAGGACTGACCCCCGACTCCACACACCCAGCACGACTGGCCCCCGAGCCTCCTCCACTCGGCCTCCCTCCTCGTCCAGTCTCCACAGGGGCCCCTGCCCCGCACGTGTGAGGCCCCAGCCTCGCCCTCACACGCGCTCACAGGCAGGCCTGTCCCCGTCAGGGTCCAGCTTGGAAGTCACCTCCACTTGCACGGCCACCTTCCTCGCACTGTCACTGAGACACAGAGCATGCTCCCCCACGACCCCCGTGCCCCCAGGTCCCTGGATGGGGCCCAGCACCTCCTTGCGTCCCACCCACCTGACCCACCACGAGGCACCCACGGGGCTTCAAATCAAGTTTAATAAATAAAACAGCAAGGGGATCAAGGCAGTTGTCACTTCACAGTGTGGTCCTTGGTGGGCCGAGGGAAGGTCGAGTCCAGCCCTGCGGACGGGCTCGAGCCAAAGCCCCCCTTGGTGACACCGGGGCCGGGAGCGCTGCCCTGCCCCTGGAGGACCCCACTCCGATTTGTAAACAGAAACATAAATAAAACAAGGAGGCTGGAGAGGAGAAGGCCCAGGCCCCCAAGCCACCTTGCTAGGAAGCCTCAACAGAAACACGACCTAGGGGGTCAGGGAAACGGGCTGGAGCCGGGCCCCTCAGTGCGGCAGGCGACAGGCCTCGGTACCAAGGGGCTGTGAGTTCTGCGTCCTCAGACCCACGCCCGAGGCTGCCGGGGGCCCCGGGGTGGAGGTGGGGGTGGGGTGGGGGCATAAAGTGCGGCTTTTCCTGAAGTGGAGAGAGCGGGTGGACGTCAGGGCGGGGCGGGCCGACATCGAGGTATATGGCTCTGTGCCCCACAGGGTTTGGCACCGAGTAGCAGCTGCCCCCTGAGCCCTGGGCGGGGGCAGCCCGAAGTCCGGCCAGGCGCAGGGAGACAGGCGAGCAGAGTGCCGAGGGTGCCGGCGGAGGCTGCTGCTGGTAGGGGCGGCGTCCGGCCCCACCTCCCCACGTCCCTGGCGGGGCCCGGCCGCCTTCCTCGCCTCTGCTGGCTGGATGGGCCAGCCCTCCGCGCCCCGCCACCCAATGGGTCCCGTGGTGGGCGCAGAGGCTGGAGCCAGGCAGCAGTGCTGGTGCGTGTGTGGCGTGGGGAGGGGCCACCGCTCAGCCCGGTCCTTGACGTGCTCTGAGCAGAGGAGCTACCGGAGGCCCGCGAGGAGGGGAGGGTCAGGAAGACTGACAGGCAGGCCTCACAGCGGCCCCAAGTCCAATCTGGGCCACAAACGCCCGCCTGTGGCCAGGGATCAACAGGTCATCACGTTACAGCTGCAGGGGGAGAGAGGGAGAGACAGGAGGTCAGTGCAACCCCAGAGCAAGAGGCCCGGCACGGGGGCGTGTGCGGGACGCGGGCTGGACCACGGCCCCGCCCCCGCCTCACGGCAGACGCCGCCCCCACAGCCCGCACAGCCGCACAGCCGCACAGCCGCCTGGCCTCCCCCTCTCGAGGCAGCACTGTCCTGGGCGGCCGCCTGGGCAGGGCCGGGAGGAACCTGGCGCTGGCCCCGTCTGTACCTTCTTGGATTCTGAGCCCCATGAATGTATTACCTGGCCAGGAAGACACATGAGCCAAATAAAGACAGAATAAAGCTGAAGAAACCACTAGCCTGCTCCGCGGCCACGCCATCCTCGGCCCCGGGGCAACCCCTCCCGCTGGCCCCAGCTTGGCCTGAGGCTGGGGTACAGCAGCTGGGGTGGGGCGGGGAGGGGCCGCACTCACTGTGACAGGGGCTCCGAGTGCAGCGCAGGGGCCGGGCACGCGGGGTGGGCGGCCAGGAAGGGATTCACGTCCCCGATGCCGATGAGTCCAAACTCGGCAACCGACAAAGCCACCTGTGCGGGGGCCACGGCCTCCTCGGGCTCTCCGTCCATATCCACGTGGCTGGAGATGAGGGGCAGCTCCTCGGGGAGGGCCCCGGGCAGGGCCAAGTCCACAGCCAGCCTCGGGCTGGCACCAGGCTCTGAAGCGGCCGTGGCGGGGGAGTAGAAGGCTGGCTCAGCCAGGGCTGGGGGCCGCCGAGGCAGGGGCACGGCCGGGGGCGTGTCTACATCCGGTGGCTGGAACGAACAGGGCCCTGGCTCCGAGGACAGGGGGCTGTCGGAGGCCTCCCCGGGCGCGCCGAGACTCCCAGACGTGCTGCTGCCCATGCTCAGGGGCTCTGTGGGGGGAGAACACGGCTGTGGCCAGGCCCTGACAACGCCCACGCCCAGCTCCACCGGGTCAAGGGCAACCCGGTACGGCCTGCTCACCCAAAAGCCACAGTCGCCTCAGGCTGTGCCTGGTGCGGGGCTCCAACCTGCCGGGTCCAGCAAAGCCAAGGACCCCTCCTCACAAAACGCTCTCACACAAACACGTAAGACACACAGGGATGCAGAAAAGCCCTGTCACACCGGAAGGGCACACTGAGGCTAAGGGCCCCGCCTGGGAAGGTCGTGACCCCCATCTTGTAGGGCAGGACAGGACGCAGCTGTTCACAGAGTGAGAGGGGTGTGGACTCGGGGAGCTCCCGCACACGGCCGTGGGGCCAGGCACGCGGACAACCCCCCGGGCACACCACAGACCCAACTGGACCCTGGAGCCAGAACAGGGGAAGCCCCAGCGTCCAGCAGACCCACAAAGCAGCATCCTTGTCCCCTGAGGTCCCCTTCAGAAACTGCAGTCGCCAGCTGAGCTCTGTCCTGCTCCTGCACGGTCCTGGGCCCAGACACCAAAGGGGGCGCAACACCCCCTGGGCTCCCACCTGGGACTGCAGAGCAGCCCCACTTGGGCCCCAGGCCGCACAGGGTACCCCCATGTGGAGAGCCAAGTCCCGAGGATGACTCGTGTGTGACACCCTGTGAGACCACGTGGGGGTGAAGGGACATTGGCCCCCGGATGCCACTCACTCCTCCGTGTCCACCAGCCCAGGCTGGGCTGCCGGGGAGAAGCGCCCCGAGAAAAGGGGCCACCCCCCACTCACCGGTGCGCATCCGGGCCAGGGGGTCCCGCTCAGGGCCCGGGCCGTCGGCAGTGGCAGGCAGAGGCAGGGGCGGCGAGGAGCGGGGGCGGCCAGGGCCATCGGGGTCACCACCATCCAGGTCCTGGTCCGCGTCCCTGCAGGGAGAGGAAAGGTGAGGGCAGGGGCTGCCTCAGGCCAGGACGCCTCCCCCACCACCCCACGGGCACCTGGCACGTACGTGGTTCCCGACGGGCCGTACTTCCGGCGGCCCAGCCGCGTCTGCTGGGAGAAGTAGTCGTAGCGCTCAGACTTCTTCCACAGGTAGTAATACTCCACGCACTCGCCCACAGACCGTGTGCGCACCTGCGGGCGGTGCCGGTCAGCTTGGCCCCCAGCCCCTTCCCAGCCTGCTCCCCACCGCCCCGTGCCCTTAGCTCAGCACCCCATCTAGCTGCCCCCGCTCTGTGCCCGGCCTCGGCTCCAGGCCCACCGTCCGCCTCCCTCGCCCCAGACACCCCGAGGACGGCTGCACCCACGTGTGCTCTGTTCCTCACGGGCCCGGCGGAGGGGGGCAGACAACCCCGGCCCAGAGAGCACGCGGAGCGAGCCCGCTTCTCACTGAGCGTGGGCGTCACTGGCGCTCCAGGGAGAGCCGTCTGCACAAGGGCACGCCGGGTGCGTGAGCCAACTTGAGGGCATATTTACAACGCAGCACAAAAAGCCAGGCCTGCATCCTGGAAGGCCAAGCTCGCCCCGCGGGCTCGTGTCCAGGGTGAGCGATCGGGGCGTCTTCCCATCTCGGAGGATCACCCGCAGCAAGGCCAGGGCTGCGCCCGCAGCTGACAACCCCACCCCCGCGGGACCCAGCGCCCGTGCCTGGGGAGGGCTGAGACAAGCAGGCGCAGGGGCATCCAGGGACTGCCTGATCTTCTCACCGAAACCCCCTCGTGCAACGAGCCTCCCCGAGGCCAGCTTCACGGCAGACCTGAGACTCCAGTGGGAGAGGTCACCAGCCCTAAGCTGGGTGGGGGGCGTGCGGCAGCCAGCAGGTCAGGACACAAAGGCAGCAGCCCAGCAGGTTCTGGGGCAGAAGCGGCCTCTGCCATGGGACAGGCGAGGCGGGAGGCGCGGGCGCCAGTCCCAGAGGACCAAGCGCTGCCTGGCCGTGCCGGGTTCGGTCAGAGGGGCACCATCCCTGTCCTACAGAGCCCCGCGAGGGCCCCTCACCCGCGGCAACCTCCCAGGGAAGACGCTCAGACGGCAAGCGTGAGCCCGGTGCCGGCCAGGCCCTGCTCCTCCACCTGTGGGGAGTGGGAGTGGCAGGGCTGCCGGCCCCAGGGGAGCAAGACAAGACAGGGACGAGGGGCCGGAGTGGGAGCCACTGTAACGGCGCAGAGGGACAGCCAGGTTCCCAGACGAGCCACGGGTGCCTGGCCAGGCAGATGTCCAGGGTGGGGGGCAGAGGGCCGGGGCAGTGACAGAGGTCAGCGTGGGAGTCATTACAAGGGAGCCACAGGCAGGGAGCACCCAAGCGGGGTGTGGGGAGACCAGTGACCCAGGCCTGGTGTTAGGGACACGGGCCTGGGGAGGACGGGGGTGGGGGGGACATGGATGTGGAGACGGGCATGGGGACCTGGCATTAGCAGCCACTTCGGTCATGCCTATTTGGTGCAATGGTGGGAGAGCATGTGTCCCTGGATGGAGTGAATATGGAGACCCTCAGTCCCCACGGCAAGGGGGTGACGTGGGAGATCCAGGCGGGGGTCAGCGCTGGGGGACTGGCAGTGGGCACGAGACCCTTCCCCAGATTGGAACCTTTCCGGGGGATGGGGGAACTAGAGGAAGATGAGCCAGGGAGCCCACCACGAGCCTGGGGTTCGTTCTGACTCCCGCTGCGGGTAGACAACAACTGTGCCGGCTGCCAAGCCCTCCAGCCCCAGAGCAGCCCCCAGCGGGCCGGGAGGCGCGGCGGGCGGGCGGGCGGGCAGGGCCTCACCTTGTTGGCCTGGATCAGGTGGAAGTTCTTGCCATGCACACGGAAGCCGTGCTCGAAGTTGCGGCGCTCCTCCTCGCTCCAGGCGCACAGCCCGTCTGAGAAGGTTGGAGCGGTGGGGGGCGGGGGGCGGGTTGGTCAGCTCGGTCCGTGGCGGGGGTGGGGGGTGGGGGGGCCGGGGCTGGGGCTGCGCTCACCTCGGATCACCTTCACGTTGAACCGCAGCCTCCGCAGGGCCTCCTCGGCGTTGAAGTTGCATTTCACCAGCTCATACAGTGCCTGGGGGAGGGGGGCCACCATTGCCCAGGACAAGCGGTCGCCCTTGAATTCGTCACAATCACACAACCACACTGGCCCCCGCCCCATGGCTCCTCCGCCCCCAGGGCCGCCCACCTGCTCGCTGTCTTTCACCGCCTCTCCCTCCGGGAGCTGAGACTCAGCCACCTCGCGCCACCGCCGCTTCGCCGCCCGGTACAGGAACTCCTCCACCGCCCCCTCAGGAAGGATGCTGGGGTCCCAGAGCAGCTGGTCTTCATTCTCATAGACTGTGCAGGAGGGGGCAAGTTCACGTGCCGGCACGCAGTCTGCACCTCCTCTGACCTCCTCCCCAAAAGCATCACCAGCAGGCCAACTCAGCCCCTCTGGAGGACAAGGGCCCATCGGGGCCTGGGCCTCCACCTCTGCGTCTCACAGGGCCAGCTCCGGGCACCTGGGTGCTCGAGATGGCAGGAAGGCAGGAAGGGGTGGGAGGTCAGTGGGCCCTGAGCAGCCAGTTATCAAGGCCAGCGTCCCAGAGGGGGCAGCAACTAGCCCAGGCTGGAAGGGGGACTTCTGAGCGTGGCCCATGAGGAGGGGCTGCAGGACGAGCTCAGGGAGGCGAAAGGCAGAGGCCCAAGGGAGCAGCGAGAAGAGCCCAGACTCGATCAAGCACAGTGGGGAGACCTGGGTGCCAGCGGCCTCGCTCAGGCAAGAGCTCCCATGGCTGCCTCAGTCCCTATAACCGCAGCATCAGCATCACACGAGCCACGTGAGAGCAGACCTCCCGGGGAGAGGAGGGAGGGGAGGAGAGGGCAGTAGAGGTCCTACCATGGCGGGGGAGGGGGGCAGGTGCATTAAGGAAGGATAAGAAAGGGACTCTGGCTGCAGTCTGCTTTGGGGCGGGGCGGGGGGGGACAGCCTCCAGCAGGGGGAAGGACGTGGCAGCAAGAGGCAGAAGGGAGAGTTCAGGGCCAAGCCTGGGGAGACCCCAGTGTCAGCATCTCTTGATTACTCAGGGAAGAACCACAGGGGCCAAAAACTAAACAACACACACAAGCCAAACACCAGCGCAGTGGCTGAAGAGTGGAACCGGCTCCATACTGGACTCGCTCTTGTGAGGCAACCAGCGACTCTGGGGCTGGCGCCCCTGTAGACCTGCGACCACCTCTCTCCATCTGCAAAGTCAAGCCCGAGTCCCAGCCCCTCTCTAGAGAAAAAGCGACACCTGCCACCATCGCCGTGTGTCTACCTATGGCGTGAAGGTGAGAGGTAAACCACGTGACAACACGTAACTCCACAAACAGCTGGACATCAGAGTTAGCAGACAGGACTTCAGTATAACTATGATTAACGCTTTAGGGAAAAGGACAAAATCAATGGAAAGCTGGAACTGAAATCAATTCAAAAGAATCACATGGACATTCCAGGGCTGGAAAATGCAGTGTGTGAATTATGAACCCACTGGGCAGCTTCAACAGCAGCAGAAGACATGATTAGTGAAACTGGAAAGAATTCCATTCAAAAAAATCAAACTGAAGCTTAAAGAGAACATAGTGTGGGACATGTGTAAGATGGTCAAGCAACCTAAGACATGTATAACTGAGTCATGGAGGAAGAGGACAAAGCACAGGACCAATTTTGAAGAGATAATGGCCAAGCAGTGGTGCAGTGGTTAAGCACCTGCCAATGCAGGAGACACTGGTTCGAGCCCTGGTCCGGGAAGATCCCACATGCCGCGGAGCAACTAAACCTGTGCGCCACAACTACTGAGCCTGCACTCTAGAGCCCACGAGCCACAACTACTGAGCCCACATGCCACAACTACTGAAGCCCACGCACCTAGAGCCCATGCTCCACAACAAGAGAAGCCACCACAATGAGAAGCCCGCGCACCGCAACGAAGAGTAGCCCCCGCTCACCGTGACTAGAGAGAGCCCGCACACAGCAATGAAGACCCAACACAGCCAAAAATAAATAAATAAATAAATTTATTAAAAACACACACACACACACACACACACACACAAAAAGGAGTCAGTGCAGTAATGCAAGAAAAATAAAACATAAAAAGATCACAAAGAAAGAAGTAAAGTTATCATACACAAATGATATGATTGTATGTGTCTAAAAGTGCGAAAGAATCTCCAAGGTAATAAAATTAGTAAGTGAATTTAGCCAAGTCACTGTGTACAAGATTACTGAAAATAATAAACTGCATTTCTGCATTTCACAAGACTGCTATACTGAAAACTCTAAAAACTGCCGAAAATAACAAGACCTAAGCAGAGAAGTAAGCTATGTTTGTGAACTGGAAGTGTCAATATCGTTAATGTATCAATCTCCCCCAAATTAATAAAGAGCCAATGCAACCATAATCAAAATCCTAGCAGGCATTTTTGAGACAAATGACAAGCTAATTTGAAAACTTATGTGGACATACAAATAAAAGTTACAAAGTTGGAGGGTTTGCACCATCTCAGACTAACTTCAAAGCTGCAATAATTAAGAGAGTGGTAAGGACCCAGGGTTAGACAAGAGAACAACAGAAGAGAAGCCCCAAAAGGCAGATATACATTACGGACACGATTCCTGATAAAGGCACCACTGCAATTCAGTGGGGGAAAGAATGGACTTTTCCATATGCAGGGCTGGGGGTGGTGGTGGTGGGGTCAACCCTGACCCATACCTCCAACCATACATTAAAATTAAATTACATCATAGATGCCAACATAAAAGGGGAAATAAAAGAACATATCTTCAAGACCTGCAGACTCCCTAGACAGCATACAAACACACTGTGGCTAAAATAAAGACAAGCTGGATTTCACTGAAATCAGACACCACAGACTGGGAGAAAACATCTGCCGTGCACACAGCCAACCAAGGATGTGCATCCACACAGAAAGTCACCAGAGAAAGGCAACCCAATTGAAAAGGGGAAAGGCCTCAGCAGGCTCCTCCCAAGAGACACCAAGTGGCCAGTAATCGCAAATTAAAGCCACAACGGGCACAACTCCACACCCATCAACAAGGCAGACCACACCAAGCGCTGATGAGGACACAGAGCAACTGGAACTCCCACGCTGCTGGCGAGCGGGGGCCCCACTCGGTGCCTACTGATGACGCCCCAGGAACAAGTGTGTGTGTCCACGAAGACAACCACAGGGCAAACCACCGTGAACACTGACCAGCAGGAGGATGAGTCAACGTGGCGTGGCACGTGCACACGAGGGAACCCAACACCGTAGCGTACGCAACGCACATTCATGCTAGCGGGATCGAGAGACAGACAGACTACAAGTCCAGGATGGTGAGCGCCCTGAAGAACAGGGCCAGGCAGAACGCAGAAACACACACGTCTCTGGAGGGCATGTGGGACGAGTCCTGGACGAGGCGAGGGACTGACGCGTGGGTGACGTGGGAAGAGCCCACACACCCAGGGGAACAAGCGCAGCAGCCCTGGGGGTGGGTGGCCCACAGGGCCCAGGACCAGCCAGCGGGGAGGGACAGCCACTTCCCAGAGTGTCCTGCAGGCTCAGCTGCCCTGGGGAGGTGGCCACCGGACCTGGGCCAGGACCCTCAGGCTCGCTCCGAGGACCTGGGAACTGGCTCTGGCTGGACCCGGGAGTCTCTCCTAGAGGAGTGGGGTTGGCACTTCTCCTGCTCCCTGTCCCCCACCTCCCAGGCCACTTACGCTTCTCACCCTGACGGTTCGAGTGCAGCTTGCTGAGGTCGGCTTGGAACTGAGGCCCAACCATGATCTCCTGCAAAGGCAAAGGCCCAGGAGAGTCAGGGCAGACGGAGGCCCAGGCGCGCGGTGCTGATGGGGGCTGCAGGCTGCCACCCAGAGCCAGGCCGCCTGGCCCGAGGTGTGAGGTGGGAGGCAGAGGCCAGCTGTGTGTGTGACTGCGTCCAGTGCAGCCAGTCCTGGGGCAGGGGCGGGGGGGCCTCGGGGCTACGGCACTCACTCGCAGTCGAGCCCCAGCCCAGGAGAGGCCGCGCTGAGGGCGCCGCAGGGTCAGGGCCACGCACCTTCTTACACTTGTTGGCGGGAAGCGGGTCCTCCTCGGTGTCCGACGAGCTGGAGGAGCCAGGCTCCTTGTCTGCATCAGGCAGGAAGCGGGCTTTGGGGAAACAGCAGCAGGTGAGGCACCTCCTCGGCCCCGCGCGGCCCCCCAGCCAGCAGACCCCGGGGCCTCCACCCCATTCTCCATCCACCTGACCCCCACGTGTGCCCCTCCTGAGAAGCAGCTGGGTCCAGGCCCTGGCCGGGTGACGGGCTGTGACGGGCACAGAAGCGGGGACTCAGGAGGCCGCCCTCTGCTGCAGTCGTAAACCAGGGGCCTAGACCCCCAGCACGTCACGCTGCCCCTGCTCAGGCCACAGAGACGCACAGGGAGTGAGGGACGCATGGCCCGAGGACGCTGCCCTGGATCTAAGGGACTTTCAGGCACAGGAACCAACACGTTCCCTCCTCACATAAACCAAGGTCACCAGCCTCAGCTCACTGGCAGGGCAGGGCAGGGGAGAGGGGTCCCTACAGGGGCTCGAACAGGAGAAGGGCACCCCCAGGGGTCCCGATGTCTGTGTCCCCAGCGGCCCAGGGGTAGGAGCGGGTGGGACACCTACGTCCACTCTGATTAGGGAAAAGGTCAGAGGCCTCATGGGAGGTCACAGATGGGGTGAGGTCATCGGCTGAGGACTGTGTTTCTTCCTCTTCTTCCCCTGAAAGCAAATCCTTCGCTATTTGTTCCTTTTAACAAGAAAGTAGAGAACGTTTTTGCAGTTTGTTTTAACAATCTCAAATAACCCTAACCCGAACAGCAGTGGTGGTGCCAAGGCGGACGAGCCTCCCTCTAGGCATGCAGGGCTCCCACGGGGCTGCTCTCCCTGCTCCGCGGACGAAGCACTTGCACAAGGGCGGGCCAGCCAGGGGCACCGAGTCGGGGAGGGACACGGCCTCCGCCCGAGGCTGAGGACAGTCAGAGCCCCTCCCTTCTGGCCAGGCCACGACCTGCTCGGGATCCGGAGCGTCTCTCCCTCCCAGAGCCGTCCCTGCGACCACCCTGACCCTGGGTGTGTGGCCAGAGCCGGCAGCACTAGCTATACCCACACTGCCAGGCTATAAGCCGCGCTTCTGCCTGTCTAGGGCCTTCCTGCCCACCCCCAGAACCGCCCCCTCACCTTGTCCAGGGTCATGTCCGGGAGGTTGGTTGTGGCATCGCTGCCCTCACTCTGGCGCTCCGAAATGGGGTCCGAGGGCTCGTAGCCGTAGAGGGCCAGCAGCTCGTCAAGGGGCATGTCGCTGCTCTGGGGGGCAGGGCTCTGTCGGCAGGGCTGCTCTGGGGCTCTGCTCCCCCACCCCTGAGCCCGTCAGCCCCACGACCAGTCACAGAGACTCACCCCAGCCAAACCGCAGGCCCAGCCCCTCATCTAAGGGCCCCTCACAGCCCCAGGAGGGAACCGATGAGACACCTGAGCCCAGAGGCGTCCGCTGTCTGCCCAACGCCCCTGGCCGCGAAGGGCAGAGCTGGGCAGGCTCCCGTCCACCTCCACCTCCCCGCCCAGGCCTGTGCAAGCTCCACTCAAGCACTGCGAGGACTCCCAGTGTCTGGAAATCAACTGTCACCACACGGGACACCAATAAACAAGAAGGGGAAAAACATGGTCCTTTAATGAACGTAAAAAAGGCATCTGGTCAAACCAACATCACTCCTGATTTTTTAAAACCCTCAGTATGCTAAGTAAAGAGATGGACACCTCATCAATGTAACAGAGAGGCGGCTGACCCTCGCCGCACCAACAACAAACAAGAGGACGCTCGAGGGCCCCACGGCTGCCTAACACAGCTGACACTTGGAGCCACCGCGATATGACAAGAGACAGAAATAAGACCCTTAATTACCGGGAAGGAAGAGGCAAAAACTACCACTACCTTCCACTCCGGTACTGCTTTCCAATCCTGTTTCTGCAAACCTCGCCTGCTCGAGGCCAGTGCCGCTGGCCATGCTGCGTCCTGACTGCTGAGGGTCTCAGTCGGCTTCCAGCCTCCTGCACACGCCCTGTGCCTCTCCCAGTTTCTAACTGTGCACCTGTGGGTGGGGTGGGAGCTGACATGGTGGCTCCCCGGGAAGCAACCTGAGGAGCAGCACGGGGGCGGCTGGGGCAGCCTGTGAGGTCAGGGCAGGGGCACCAAAGTGCGCGAGCATCAACGTGCTCACTAAGGGCTTCAAGAGATGCCCGTCTCACTAAAGAATACCCTGCAATGCCTGTGTGACGCTATGGATTTTATGAAAGCTCACCCTGAGCGGGTGTCGTTTTGATCTTCTGTGGGAGGAAAAGGGAGTAATGGAGACGGCACCCTGGAGCTCAGGGCTGGCGGACAACTCCCGCCTCCTGCCAGGCACTGGCCAGACGAGGGAGACCACCGACTGCGCTTCTTGACGGAGTAAAACTCAGCGTAAAAGCTTTCAAGCACAAAATTCCAATTGTGGAAAACGTGGATGTGACAGCGTGAACTTCATAAACCACAATGCCCGCTGGTGAGGGAATATAAAAGGCAGGTGTTTCTCATTTTGCTTTGGATATTAAGTTCTTTCTTTTAATCAGTTCACAAAAATTATACCTGAAGAATTTTTTTTTTTTTGGCCGTGCCGCATGCCTTGGGGGATCTCAATTACCTGATCAGGGATTGAACTCGGGTCACATCAGTGAAAGCGCAGAGTCCTAACCACTGGACCTCCAGGGAACTCCCCTGAAGAAAGCATAGCTGAGGTAATTTAGCTAATGAATAGCTGATTTTTTTTTCTTTTTGGTTACTTTTGAGAAGTTCTGAATTCAAGCTGAACTCCTTAAAACTGATTTTTCTTTTTTGAACAGAAGACATGTTTTGGTTATAAGACCAAATGGGCACCAAGTGATACACAGCACCAAGCTAAATAAATGCCCTATGATTACTCCTTAAAAAAACACTCAGGGCTTCCCTGGTGGCGCACTGGTTGAGAGTCCATCTGCCGATGCAGGGGACACGGGTTCGTGCCCCGGACTGGGAAGATCCCACGTGCCGCGGAGCGGCTGGGCCCGTGAGCCATGGCCGCTGAGCCTGCACGTCCGGAGCCTGTGCTCCGCAACGGGAGAGGCCACAGCAGTGAGAGGCCCACGTACCGCAAAAAAACAAACAAAAAACCACTCAAGTCCCAGGACTTAAAAGACATCTGGTGAGATCAGTGTTGACATTTAATGGACTGCATGTTTGTGTGTCCCCCTGCCCCAAATTGATATGATGAAGCTCCAATGTGATTGTGTTTGCAGATGGGGCCTTTACGGAAATAAATGAAGTTAAATGAGGCCACAAGGATGGAGCCCTGATGCAACAGGATCAGTGTCCTCATAAGAAGAGACACCAGAGAGCTAGCTCTCCCCGAGAGAACACGGCGAGAAGCAGCGTCTGCAGCCGCGAAGCAGGCCCCCACCAGACGCAGCCTTGCCAGGCCCTGGTCCGGGACTTCTGGCCTCCAAAACTGCACAAAAATAAATGTCTATTGTTTAAGCAGCACAGTCTGTGGTATTAACAAAGTGCGCTTTCTAGATTTCATACAGCGAACTCTGTGGACGTGTGGAAGATTCATACGTCACAGAACCAATATTCACCAAACATCTCATCCACGCAGAAGGTGACAAGATCACACACGGGTCAAGACCAATGGATCTTAACACCAAGGACAGAAACTTTCCTGGATCTGCTTATAGAATTCACTTCACAAAACTACCACTTGCTGCATCTTGGAGCAGCATCGAAGAATATCCAGTTATCTGAAAAGATTGTTAAATACTCCGCCCTCAGGGCTTCCCTGGTGGCGCAGTGGTTGAGAGTCCGCCTGCCAATGCAGGGGACACGGGTTCGAGCCCTGGTCTGGGAAGATTCCCACATGCCACGGAGCAACTGGGCCCATGAGCCACAACTGCTGAGCCTGTGCTCGGCAACAAGAGAGGCCACGACAGTGAGCGGCCCCCGCTGGCCGCAACTAGAGAAAGCCCTCGCACAGAAGCGAAGACCCAACACAGCCAAAAATAAATAAATAAATAAATAAATAAATTTATTTAAAAAAAAAATAACCAGAACAGATCTATATGAGGCTAGATTTACACTTTAACCAAAAGAACAAATCACAGCAGACTAACGTCTGCCTTAAAAGACAGCGTTCACAGAGATTTACAAAAATGTCAAACTAGTCCACTCTTCTCCCTAATTTTTTTGTCTTGAAAATAGTTATTTTTCATTTTCCTAAACATGTGTTCTTTCTACTAACAATGGGTTTGTCGTATCACCAACATAAACAAAGCTCCTTGAGACCCTCAACAGTTTTTAAGAGCACAAAAGCGAGTTCTGCGGGCAAAAAGTCTGAGAACAGTGAGTTCAATGTCCAGCCACCCGCTCGTCTGGAGCCCAGCGCCCCACGAAGGCGGGACTGGCCCGGCCCACCCCTTGACCTCAGTGCCCAGCATGGTCTGGCCTGTGCAGACAGAGGGTCGGCGGCACAGGTCGTCGTGGAGTCCGAGGAGCTCAGAGACCAGGCGGACGGAGCAGCGGCGATGCCCCCTGGACGCCCCGCCCACCGGGTACCTGGGAGACGAAGTCCTTCTCTAGCTCCTCCTCCGGCTTCTCTGGGCCCCGCGCAGCCCCTTCATGCTCCTCCTGGACACCGTAGTTCCGAGACAGGATCTCCGCCAGGTGGAACTGATGGTCTGCGGACCCCATGGACACCACTGTGGAGAGACATAGGCCCGCGTGAGCTCCTTGCCACCATCCCAACCACTGAGCTTCTGCAGATGACCACAGGGCGGAGGAAGCCTCGGGGGCCCAGCTGCCACCACAGGGGTGTATGCACGCGCGCGTGTCCACGTGGGCCGGGGTCGGCACGCGGCAGCCCAACCGATGCTCAGCCCTCCTCTGGCCTCGGCCCAGCAGCTGGGGGACGTGACCAGATCTGGGGTTTTCCCCAAAGAACCAGGATGTGTTCACTGCTCTCTCTCCATGACTGGTCTTCAATGAGTTGATTTTTAGAAGAAACAAAACAAAAAAGGAAATAGCTAGGTCTCACTCAACCCCAGCCAGGGAGCAGTGAGGGCCCAGGCTGGACCTGCATGTGGGTCCCGAGTGCAGCAGAGGGGGGCAGAGCCACAGGGAGCAGACGGGAGGGGCAGGCGGCCAGCTCAGGGGAGGCGCAGGGCCCCGGGGAGGGAGAGTGCCTGCCCAGCACCGCCCCCTCCTGCAGCCCCCACCCACAGCCTGGGCCCGGGGTTGGCCAGGAAGCTCTGGAGAACGGAGGCACTCGGTCTGGACAACCGGAGACAGCCCTGGCCACCCCGCCCGCACGCCCCATCCCGAGGCTCCAGGGGCCAGTGTGCCGTCTCTCGCACCTGCCAAGGCCCGGGCCCCAGGGAGGAAGGTACCTGCTGTGGTCTGCAAGCTGGGCTCCCCAGGGCACAGGCTGTGAGAGAGGCAAGAGGCCAGGCCAGGGCTCCGCCTCTCTAGCGAGGAGGCCTGCAGAGGAGACGAGCAGGATTAGGGCCCTGCGGCCAGACAGGGCGGTGGAGGGTCAGAGCCAGCCCCGGGGGCATGGGGCACCAGGTAACAGAAGGCCTCCGCGGGCTGGGGCGGGGGTCAAGGCGGGCCAGGTGTGTGGCTGCGCTGGAGTCCAAGCGTCCCTGCGGAGACAGGCAGGGAGGGCCTAGGGCCGGCGGCGGGAACGGCACGCACCCACGGGCACCGTGAGGAGCCTGGGACGGCCGGCCACCAGCAGTGCTGATCACAGCCCAGGACACGGGGCCCAGGTGACCCAGGCCCACACACAGCCCTGGTGCCACACCCCGCAGCCAGGTGCTGACACCACAGCCACTGCACAAGGGACCAGCCTCCGAAACTTTGTCTTAAAAAGGCAAACAGCCACTATGGAGAAATCTGGGAATTCCTCCAAAAGTAAACAGTTACCAAATGACCCAGCAATTAATTCTACTCCTAGGTACACACCCCAAAGAACCAAAAACATGTGTCCATAAAAGGTGTACACAGGTGTTCACAGAAGCATGACTTACCACAGCCAAAATGTGTAAACACCCAAATGCCCATCACCAGGTGAATGAATAAACAAGACGTGGTCCATCCTTATGATAAAATATTACTTGGCCATGAAAAGGGGTGAAGCACTGACACTCGCTACCAGGTGGACAGACCCTGAGAACACGATGCTCAGTGAGAGAAGCCAGACACAGAAGGACACACAGGGTGTGATTCCACTGATGGGAAACATCCAGAACAGGCAAATCCGCAGACAGACAGTGGGTTCCTGGTTGTCAGGGGCTGGGGTGACTGCTGATGGGGTCAGGTGTTTTTCTGGGGTGATGGAATGTTCCAGACAAAAGTGAAGGGCTCAAAACTTTGTGAACATACTAATAATCACTGAATTAAACATTTTAGATGGGTATATTTTGAAGCACATAAGTTATACCTCAAATTTTTTAAAAGTGCAAATGAAAGCATCATAACAGCTACCACTGGGACTTCCCTGGTGGTCCAGTAGCTGAGAGTCCACGCTCCCAACGCAGGGGTCCTGGGTTCAATCCCTGGTCAGGGAACTAGATCCCAAATGCCGCAACTAAGAGTTCACATGCCGCAACTAAAGATCCCGCATGCTGCAACCAAAGACCCAGGGCAGCCAAATAAATAAGTAAATAAACTTTTTTCTAATTGTCTTTAAAAAAAGCTACCATTATCACAATGTTCAAAAATTTATTAAGAACAAGAAAACTAGACCAATATCTCTTACAAACAGAAACACAAAACTCAACAAAACCCAAGCAAACTGAGTTCAACGGCATACAGAGAACACTGCACACCAATGAGGAGAGGCTCAGAGCAGGGATGCAGCACAGGTGTGACACCCAACACAACCAGCACAGCGACAGGCTAAACACAAAACCCACACCAAAATCATCTCAGCAGATGCAGAGACAGCACACAGCAGAGTCCAACACCCTTTCATGATGAAAACACTCGACATATGAAGGCTGCAAGGGAACTTCCTGAAAAGGGCGTCCATCCAAACCCCAGCTACTGCCACCCCTGAGGCAGATGGCTAGCGCCTCCCCCAAAACCAGAGCACGGTCTCTTCACAACGTCGTCCTGGAGGAGGCAGCAGTCGGGACAGGAAAGTAAAATAAAAGGAATCCAAATTGGAAAGGCAAGTCATGACCTGGGACACAGAGGATACTAAAGAATCCACTAAAGAAACCAGAACTAATAAATGAGTTCAGCAAGGCTGCAAGACACAAGATAATCTACAAAAATCAACTTTACTCCTGTATACTAGCAATGAACAATCCAAAAAGAAAATAAGGAAAACAATTCCATTTCCAATAGCACCAAAAAGAATAAAATACTTAGGAATAAATGTGGCAAAAGAAATTCAAAACTAATACTCTGAAAAGTGCAAAACACATTGAAAGAAACTAAAGATCTACATAAATGGAAAGACATACTATATTCATAGCTCAAAAGACTATTGCTAAGATGTCAATACTCCCCAATTCATCTACAGATTCAACAAAATGCCTATCAGAATCCCACTGGGCTTCTATGTAGAAACTGACAGACTCCAAAAATCATATGAAAACTCAGGGGACCCCAAACAGCTAGAACAATCTTGAAAAGGAAGAACACTTCCCAGTCTCAAAAGTACTCCAAAGCTGCAGTAATCAAAACAGTGTGGTGCTGACATAAGGCTAGATATTTAGATCAAATTAATAGAACTGAGAATTCAAAGACAAACCCATATATTTACAGCCAAGCGAATTTTTAAAGGGGTGACAGAAAAATTCAATGCAGAATGAACAGTCTTTTCAACAAACAGTGCTAGGGCAATTGGATATCCAAACGCAAAATAATAACATTCAACTCCTATCCTACACCGCACACAAAAACTCACTCAAACTGGATCAAAGACCTCAAATATAAGAGCTAACACTATAAAACTCTTAGAAGAAATCATAGTGATAAATCTTTCTTACCAGGCAATGGTTTCTTAGATAAGACACAAAAAGCATAATCAACAAAAGAAAAATAGATAAACTGGACTTCATCAAAATTAAAAATTTAAAGACAACTCACAGACCGGTAAAAGATATTTGCAAATCATACAGTCCCTTTCTAAAGGGACGAACAGGCAAAGTCTCTGAATAGACATTCCTTCAAAGAGATACACAAATGGCCAATCGGCAGGTGGAAGCAAAGCTCAGCATTAGGGACAGCAAATAAGCACATGTCAGACACCACTTCTGTGACCAGGAGGACACATGCTATCAAGTGTGGAGGGAATGCAGGCACTTGAGGGAGGGGACGTGCAATGGGACAGCACAGGGAATACACCTGGGTGTCACCAGATGCCCCCCAACACGCCACCCTGGCACAGGGTGACCATCAGTGAAGGCAGGTGAGAAAGCAGACCCGGCCCCGAGGCAGAGCACAGTCTACTGACCAGCCCCACTCCCCTCCACCCATAAGGCACGGCCCCCAGAGGTCAAGGCCTTCCCTCTGCACTGACCGCCCTGATGTTCACACACTCCTGCGCCCTGACCACCCCTTTGGGGACCCCTCGCCGGGTTCTTCCGCATGACGCACACCACCTGGTTAACAAGCTGCCTATTTCTCTCTCCCAAAGCTGCCCTTGTCAGCCTGAACCATGGAGTCCCAGCCAGGGACCCAGGGGGGGCAGAGGGAAAAGTTAAGCCTCTCCTCCCTGAAACACCCAAGAGAGACAAAAACATTCATCCACGCTGAGACCTGTTCACGAGTGTTCTCAGCAGCATGACTCACAACAGCCAAAGGAGGAAAGAACCCAAATGGCCATCGGATGGAGTATTACTCAGCCAGGAAAAGAGGAGAAGCCCTGACACTCGCTACCACGTGGACAACCTTGAGAACACGATGCTCAGTGAGAAGCCAGACACAGAAGGACACATAGGGTGCGATTCCACTGACGGGAAACGTCCAGAACAGGCAGATGCGCAGACACAGAGAGTCGGTTCCTGGTTGTCAGGGGCTGGGGAGACGGATGGGGGAGAGATGACTAATGAGTGCACGGTTTCTTTTGGGCTGGTGAAAATGTTCCAAAATTGACTGGTGATGGCTGCACAACTCTATGAATATACGAAACGCCACTGAATCGCACACATTAAAATGAATGAATTGTATAGTAAATGAATTATACCTCAGTAAGGCTGTTTACAAAAAATATATATATAGAATACAACAGTTAATAAACTAAATTTTCAAATTTTAGAAAAAGAAGTTTAGTAGGAATTTCCACACTGATTTCCTCACTGGATCCTCAAGAGGTTGTGTAATCATTTTCTTCATAAGAGAAATAAGGGACTTGCAGCTCAGAGAGGTCAAGTCAGTCACCCGCCGTTTCCAGCACCCTGGATGGTCCCGCCCAAGCCTAAGGCCCCTGTTTTGCCAAGGTGGGAGAAGGAAACGGATGAGGAGCTGACTAAGCACGTTCTGGGTTAAAAAGAAAAAGAAGGGGAAAAAAAGTGTGGGGGTGGGGGAGGAAAGAAGGAAGGAAGACAGCATTCTACGGACTTGGTCCCAAAGGTGAGTGGGGTGGAAGAGGGAGCAAGCCCAGGGCGGGAAGGCCCAGGCACGCCACCCACAGGCGTTCCTCCAGGCATGGGACACCGACATGCCTCCCCACGCCTCCCCACCCTGTGCGAGGGCTGGGCCTGGGACTCTGGTGAGAGGGCTTCCACGTGACCCCCAAGACTAAGCTGTGAAATGCAGTGCAGTTCCCACAGCCGCCCATGCTGTGAGGAAGCACAAGCCACAAGGAGAGGCCACGCCAGCGGGCGGCATCACAGCCACACGTGGGCGAGGATGCTTCCCTCCACTGGGGCTGGCTCAGCCCAGCCACCAACCAACCGCAACCACATGAGGGACCAGTCAGCCCTCAGAACCGTGACAGGTAATTAAAAACTGATGGCTGGGGCTTCCCTGGTGGCGCAGTGGTCGAGAGTTCGCCTGCCGATGCAGGGGACACGGGTTCGTGCCCTGGTCCGGGAAGATCCTACATGCCGCGGAGCGGATGGGCCCGTGAGCCATGGCCGCTGAGCCTGCACGTCCGGAGCCTGTGCTCCGCCAACAGGAGAGGCCACAACAGTGAGAGGCCCGTGTATCGCCAAAAAAAAAAACCGATGGCTGCTTTGAGGAACTGAGTGTCGAGGTGACTCATCAGGCAGCAGCGTTAACCAGACCCCCCCCACCCCCCGCCTACACCCAGCAAAGGTGCCTGGTCCCGCTGGGCCACCCAGCACTTCATCCCTGTCTGGCAGCCTGTAGAGCACCCGCTCTGGGCCGGGAGGCAAGAGGCACTGGGTGCACAGCAGCCAATCGACAAACAGGTTCTGCCTGTCCAGTCCTGGCGAGTCAGCCGTCTCGTTGGGGATACAGATAACAAACAAGCAGATGTGCACAGTACTGAGGGGAGAAAATGGGGTAGGGGGCCTGCACAACCAGGGAGGGCCTGCGTGGCCGTCTCCAGGCCGAGGCCTCCAGGGCAGCGGGACGGCACCACACAGCGAGTCCCCCCAAGGCTGCAGACAGCACAGGGAAACAGAAGGAGCCCAGGGGGTGGAGAAGGGCGCAGGGGGAGATCCTCAGAGATCATGCCACCGGGCCAAGGGTCACGGGGAGGAGATGCGCTTTCCCCTGAGGACAACAAAAAGCCGTGTCTTTTAAGCACAGGACAGAGGTGGTGGACTCAGGTTTGTCGAAGAGCAAGCTGGGATCCGCGAGGAAAGCAGCATGAAGCGCCCCACCTTCTCTCACGGTGCTGTGGCTACTTTGGCGGCAACAGAAATCAGGCAGCGAATCCCGATCAAGCACTTACCGCTCGGTTACGAACCGCCATTTTTATCAGTTCAAGACAGTGACTGCACAAGGTTCAGCTTCTCTGTGCAAGCACGGAGCCACGATCTCATGAGACCTCCCCACCTCAGAGAGAGTGACCGACCCAAGGTCACACAGAGTAAGAGGCTCCAGAAATACAACGGGTCTCCTGGGCAGAGGCTGGCCATGCCCACCACGACTGGAATTTGCACACCTGTTGTCCTTCACTGCCAGGCCCTAAGGGCCTCCCATGGAGCCAGGCATTCGGACTTTCTTTTAGGAAAACCACCCCAATTCACTCAACAGGCACCACCCCAAACTGGACACAGGACAACAGGAGCACCCTGGACACCCGGCTGCTGTGACACTGGGCAGGGCAAAGTCAACAGCCAAACCCCGCAGCGCTCGGGGCGGGCTGGCTGGGAGTCTGCCCCATCCACCTGTAACACGCAGCTACCTGCCAGGCCAAGACAGCTGGCCCCTGGGGCAGACGCACACACAGAACGCCGTGCCCCTGCAGGGACATCGGGAGACCCGGCTTCCGCCTCCGTCCCACAAGTCCAGCCACCACCCAGGAGGCCTGTTTCCCCAAACACCCTCTAAGGTAGGAAAGGTAGGAGAACTACTCTGGAAGGGCCCTTTTGGTCCAGCCACCCAGCGTAAGGCAGGAACTAGCTGGGGAGGTCTGGCCTTGGACTGA